CACCCCAATCAAATGGATATCATCAAAACAAACAAACAAAAAAAGGAAAATGCTGATGGCTATGTGGCGAAGAAATGCCAGAATGTAGCCTGGGGTTAAACTCTACTAACTGAATTGCAGTCCACAGTCCTCCAGGATTTATTTTTTATTACTTTCATTTTGCACATGCATGTGCACCTTCGTGTGTGTGTGTGTGTGTGTGTGTGTGTGTGTGTGTGTATGTGCGTATGTGCGCACGTGCTCACACACATGCTTGTGTGAGTGCAAATGCCACAGTTTGTGTATGGAGGCCAGAGGACAACCTTTGGGAGTTGGTTCTGTCCTTCTACCATGTTAGTCCCCAGTTGGAACTCAGGCCACCTGGCTTGGGGGCAAGCACCTTTACCTGCTGAGCCATCTCAGGGGCCCATGTATTTACTATCTGGAAAATTTTGGTAGTAAATATCTAGCAGGTGATTCCTACTTGTCTAACTCCACAGAAGCCCAAGGAGAAGCCAGTTGGCTTAGGAGTGCTACCTTCAGAGTGTGTAATCCAACTAGAGAAAGAAAACCAGTAGGAATAGTATGGCATAAATGAAGCACTAACTCGGAGTTAGCCGTCACTGATCCCACAGTGCTACAGCATATGCTTTCTGAGCAAGGTCTGCTGAGGAAGGTTTTAGCATTGCCATCTAACACCTAGGAACACAGAGGAAGGATCAGGATATTGTAGAACCATGTCCAAACGCCTAAAACTAGCCAGGAGCAAAGGTGCAGCCAGGCTTGAAAGCTAATGCAGGTGCCATTCTGTGTCTGCCACCTCTCTTGGACAGCAATCCCAAACCCCATATAGGCAAAAGTTCTGATGGAGACCCATGCTATACTGACTGAAAATGGAAAGCCTCAAGAGCCCCCACCTGTGCTGAGGAAGGGAAAATAAAGCTAGGTCAGGTGACACAATTCTTCCCAAGCTCCTCCCACTGCCTCCCACAAGGTCTTGCTATATTGCCCAAGCTTCTTCAAAGTCTTGTTCTCTGGCAGCCTTGGCCTCCTGAGTCGGACCATGGTGCTTATCATACCCATTGGCCTCTTCGTAAATGTGTGTTGTTGCTGCTGCTGCTGTGGAGACAGGTCTTGCTGTGTAGCTAGGCTGTTTTCCAAGTTGCAACCTAACTGCCTCCATCTCCCCAGTGTTGGGAATAAAGGTATGTAACATCATGCCCTGTTCAGATGTTTGATTTTTTTTCTCTCCCCCTTTTCAGGATTTATTTATTTGGGGTTCAAGCTTCAAGCTGAAGATCAGAAAAACAAAGCAGCCAGACACCAGCTCTTATCTCTGCCTTAGACTGAAAGGGCTGATCCACAAGCTCTCCACCAAGCCTCAGACTGCTGCCTCTCGTCAATGTGGCTGGAAAGAATCCTGAGACTGAGATTAAAGGTATGTGCCTGGCTTCTATGGCTTGTGGTTGACTTTGCTTTCTGAAGGATTTATTTATTTTAAAGACAGGATTTTTCTGTGTAGCCCTGGCTGTCCTGGAAAACCCTTTATAGACCAAGGCCTTGAACTCAGAGAACTGCTTCTGCCTACCAAGTGCTGGGATTAAAGATGTGTGCTACCACCAGGCCCATCTGGATTTACTTATTTACTTTTGGTTTTTTGAGACTGGGTTTCTCTGTGTAACCACCCTGACCATCTCTGCAGACTAGGTTGGCCTCAAACTCACAGAGATCTGCTTGCCTCTGCCTTCTTTGATGCTGGGATCAAAGGCATGTGCTACTATACCTGCCTGGATTTATTTTTTGATTCTGTGTTTGTGTGTGGTGCTGTCCATGTGAATGCAGGAAGCTGAGGAGTAAAGAAGAGGGTGTTGCACCCCTGGAGTTGAAGTTACAGCTGAAGTCAGCTGCCTGATGTGGGGTCTCTGTCGTAGCAGTATATACTCTTAACCACTGAGTCAGTTCTCCAGCCCCACCCCCTCCTTTCTTTTGAGGTATAAGATTGGGCTTCGGGTATAGTAGACAAGCACTTTATCACTGAGTCACATTCCCAACCCTCAGCGAGAGTCTTGTCCTTTGCTTTGTTTTCTTTAGAAGGGGTTTTACCATATAGCCTGTCTGGCCTTGTGATAACCCTTCTGCTTCAGCCTACCTAGTGCTGTGATTATGGTTTACCACACTCCCCACCCTCATCAGCCTGATGGTAGTCCTGAACATGAAGTGCAATACAGATTGGCTTGGGAAGTAGGGCAATGCTGGGGTTAAGCCAGAGAGCAAATTAGTTTACTGCTAAGGGATGGTGGATCCTACAGGCACGTTTGTTGGTGGGAGGTGTCGCTGGTCCTGGGAGCACACTCCTTCAGATTTTTCATGGCCTAACATAGGCCTGCCATGTGACTGCAGCTAAATATTTGCCGAATGAATGCCACGCCTCCTTAAAGTTGCCCGGAGTCCTTTTCTTCACCCCCATCAGGCTAGTGGGAGAGCTGATACAAGTACCTAACAAGAGACAAGACCTACCCCAGGGCAGGAGTGGTGAAGGGGATGAGGAGGGATGGACTCAAGTGCAGAGATAATTCAAAGCAGTTAACTGGCAAGGCCAACATCACAGAGCATTAGACTGAATTGCACATGGTAACAGCCCTATGCAAGTGTGTGTATTTATGACCATGTGCTCCTTAGTTAAGCCTACACAGACAACACACTTCACAGAAGGGTTGTGTGGTTTCAAGAACCATCTGGGCAGAGGAACTTCCCTGCAAAGGACCACACCTGCACCTGAGTAGATTGTCAAACACGACTCCCTAACCAGGCTGCTTCTCTAAGGAGGTATATGTGTTTCTGGCACTTGCTTGGCTCCACTATGTCGCTTGTTTGCCTAAACTTCTCTCTCAAGAACTCAAGTCTGGAAGACAGTTTAGAGATGGCATGTTTCAGGAAGAAGCAAACAGCAACCTTGACAATCCCGGTGCCCATATCATTGCTGAAACCTGTATTGGTCAGGGCAACTTGTTTTCTGAATGGCAAAGCCAGGGCAATAGATCTGTGGACAGCCAGGCTGATGAGCACTTAAATCCCAACAATTCCTGAAACCATACCAGTCCCTGAATGAAGCCCTCCTGATTAGAGGATTTTCACACTGCTGCTGCTTTAACTGTCCCTGCTGTGTTCAGTGAGTGTATGGGGTCAGGGCAGACAACAGCAGAAAGGGTTTCTAGGCCAGGTATTTGCTCCAGTAACTGTAGAAGCTGTGGCCACCAGATGCCTGTAATACCTCCACCCCATGCAGGCTAGTCAGAAGTCAGTCCAGGTTGAATTAACGATGAGGCAGTTTCTGTTGCGGTACCACAAATAGACTACCCACACATTCAGAAACAAATCTTGGTGGTGGGCCATTGAAGTGGCTCAGTTAAAAGCACATCTGGAGTCTGATCTCCAGAACCCATTTCCAGACCTTCTCTGCCTCCACATGCACACCCACACAATAAACAAATAAATGTAATACCAGTAAGTTTTCTTTAGGGATGGACTGGGCCTAGCCAGTGACTTCTGGCTACAATCTCAACAGATTATTTTGGTGTGTCTCAGTTTACCCTAGTGTCAAATCTTTTATTTTTTCAAGACGGTACTTTTCCAGGACTGTATAGTCCTAACCGGCCTGGAATTCACTATGTAGATCAGGCTGGCCTCAATCTCACAGAACTATGCATGCCTCTTGTCTTCTGAGTGCTTTGATTAGAGGCATTGGTCACCACACTTAGCCTGTAATTGTTTGTGTATGTGTGTGACATGGTGAGAAGTTTAGGAAATGCTAATTATACAATTACTTAACTTTAAAATTTTATTTTATGTGCATTATGTGTATGAATGTTTTGCCTGAATTTATGTGCACCAGGTATGTACTTTTTGCCAGAGAGTGTGACAACAGGACTCTAAAACCTCTGGAACTTAAGTTACAAAATGGTTATTAACTGCTATGTAAATGCTGGGAATTGAACGCAGGTCCTCTGGAAGAGCAGCCAGTGCTCTTAACTTCTGAACTATCCCTCCAACCCCAAGCTACCTTATGTTAAGATCATTTGTATCTCTTTTATATACAAAAGGCCCTAATACAATTCACCCTATTTGTTCATGATTTGCTTTTTTCATAACTACAGAGAGCCATAGAATACAGACAAACTCTGTTCTAGGACATCAATAAACTCAACTTGCTGTGAAAAATCAGCAAATTGTTGGCTTGGGGATATAGCTCAGAGGCTGAGGACTTGCCTAATGTTCCAGAGGCCCTGGGTTTGCACCACCACTGGGAAAATAAGGATGGCAAAACATTCAAAACTGTCAAAGAAAAAACTACACAGGGCTGGGACTCATATGATGGAAGGAGAGAACTGACTTCTATAAGTTTGTCTTCTGATATCCACACTTGTGCCATGGCACAAATAAGTATAATTTAAAAATTAAAAGCGCCGGGCATTGGTGGCACACGCCTTTAATCCCAGGACTCGGGAGGCAGAAGCAGGTGGATCTCTGTGAGTTCGAGGCCAGCCTGGTCTCCAGAGCGAGTGCCAGGATAGGCTCCAAAGCTACACAGAGAAACCCTGTCTCGAAAAAAACAATAAATAAATAAATAAATAAATAAATAAATAAAAGCATATACTAAACTCTTAATGTTCAGAACCTGCAGGAACCCCCATCAATTACCAGTGGTATATTACAGAAATGCCCACTTGTTCAGGGGGTATCTGTTACTTCTTGGCTCCAAGCATCCTCTGTCCTGGCATCTGGGCTGAGGGCTCCTGAAAACCTCAGGCAGATACTAAGCAGTGCTCTGCATGCCTCCCACTCAGTGCAGATGGCCAGTATTTGTACTGGAACTCCCACATAATCCTGCACCTCAACCCTAATATCTCCCTTCATTGTGAGCACCTGACCTTGTGTATCAGTCACTTCACAGTCGTGAGTCATCAAAGCAGAGGCTATACAGATGGGGGAGGAGGAAAAGGGGTAAGGAACACTGAAGTCAGTTCATTTCAGCAGCATCTTTATTGCAACCAAGAACCTGTAATAAAATGCAGCAAAACTAAAATGCTTCACATCACACGATTAAAAGCCATGGGGCTGAAAATGAGGAGACCCATATGCTTACTGGAGACATGCAGATCATGTACAGGTCAGCGCTGAAACAGCAGGCACTTTATGTGCTAAAATTAAAGACCCCCCCCATTCCAATTTTCCTGAAAACAACATCAATTTGTATTAGGGTTACTTAAAACCAAACAGTGTCTACAAGGGACTTCTGGAACAACCATCCAAACTGAGCACCTTCCTTGCACTAGCGGTGGGGAGGGCAGATGAGAGAAGGGGTGGGGCTGGAAGGGCACAGTTGGGGTCGTTTCCAATTCCCTTCCATCTGCCGGGAGAGGACGATCTCACATTACGTGGTTTAGACCAGGCCAAGGCTCTTGTCTCACATCAAGTAGCTGTAAGATGGGCTCCTTGGCCTGTGCAAGCACTCTGTGTCCCTATCTCCCATGACACCAAGGAAGACATTTAGTGTAATGATTTTAGTTAACTTCAGAATGTCACAGACTCATCAGAAGTACTGCTTTGTTAATAAGCATGCTTAGCGTTGTCTTAGGTAAAATGAACCATTTTTATGTGATTTCCTTTAAAATGTTTTATAGGAATATATTAATAAATACTTCTTTAAAAACCCTGCCTTTGTTGGGCAGTGGTGGCCCAAGCCTTTAATCCCGGCAGAGGCAGAGGCAGGCGGATCTCTGTGAGTTTGAGGCCAGCCTGGCCTACAGAGTGAGTGCCGGGATAGGCTCCAAAGCAATACAGAGAAACCCTGTCTTGAAAAACCAAAAAAACTAAAACAAACATTAAAAAAAACCCTGCCTTTCTTAATTACATAACTACATCGTGGCAGGGCAAGGGTGGAGCCTGGTTCTGAGTACTAACCGACTGTGGGGTCTTGGGTGTGTTTTTCTCTCTAGAACACAGTCTTTTCCCCTAGTGAAAGAGAACACTGGGTTACGTTAAGGATTTGATCCAGCTGGAAAATTTATGGTTCTGTAACAATGCGGGCTCTGACTGGAATCATCCCACCTGCAGAGAGAACCCTGTGGCAAAGGCAGGAAACACCTGAATGAAAGCACACCCCCCCTTGTGGTTCACAGCTGTAAGGGCCAGACGTGCATCGTGACTGCATCTTCCTGTGTGAGGCTTTGGGAGAGGCAGGAGTAGGAGAAAACCCATTATCCCCCAGATAAAGAGTTACTTGCTCCTGCTTCTGCAAGAAGAGGTCAACAGTTACCACAGATGAGCAGTTTTCTTGACTACTGTTTTGGGTTCTTAACAATCATCCAACGTAAAAGTCACCCACTCTCTGACTCCAACTCCAATCTTTACCGGACAGTTTCTTAAAGCAGTCTACAGTGACCTGACTAGAAGCACCCAGGACCTGACTAGAAGCAACTGTGTCACAATACATGCTCCTGGTCTCAACCCACACTGATGTAGCTCATGCCTGTGTGAGCAGGTTCAAGACTTTCATTTCTTGAGCTCAGGGTCCTGGATGAACCTCAGAATCCTGCCGCTCTGAATGCTGATAGCTCTACCAGCTGCTGAGTGCACCTGTCACTAAGCCTGTGAAAACCCCACTTAGATGTGTAAGGAGTGCTTTCTGGCTCTCATCAAACTTTGAGTTTCATGGACTCTTGCCTTTCTCATTTACACCCACAGTTAGAGGACAGACAGTTCTAGAGTGGCTTCTGATTGCTCCAACTAACCTATGTCTTCCACACCACTGTAGGCAAGCAAACCCAGTCAAGCCACCTGTGTGCAAGTGAGCAAAGCACTTTCTCCCTTAGAGAAGTAGGATGACATTTAAATGACATAATTATAAATGCATTCCTGTGACAGCAGGAATGAAGGCAAGAAGAATCTACGATAAGTGAAGTTTTCTAAGGTTTGTTTGCATAAAATAAGAAATGTCTTATTACTAAGCAAAATTAAAGGTGAGAGACTTCAAAAGAGTGGCTGAGAGCTACTTAATGTCACTCCTACTTAGAATGTAAGAAGCAGCCTTTGGAGGCTAGCTGGTGCAGCAATACCACCCTCAACAGTCAAGACAGATACTTAAGTCATGAGGGAAATACTTTGTTGGGGAAGAAAAGTTACCCAAATCAGTTTAATTTAACTTTGAAAAATATAAACAAATTTTGGCACGAGAAAATGTCATAAGCATGAAAGTCAAAATAGACAATAAGAAAAAATGCGGACTCTATCATACAGCATAAATACACAGCCAGCAGATACCAGCCCTCCCTCCCCAAGGACAGAAGCCCATGGTCACCTGTCATTCCCTGGCTTCCTGAGCTGCCCACCTCTGATCCGACTGCTATCATCCTCACTAACACAGACTGCTCTTGGGAAGGGACCGGCTGTGGCAGGGAGAAAGAAACAGAGTAAGTTTTCTTGGAGTGATTTTAAAATTACTATAACTTCCTAAATACTGAAGTTTGTGATTAAAAAGGGTCAAACCCACAGGTGCCTGGCTCCAGTGGGACCCATCTAATACTGGAAGGCCCTAAAGGGCACACACCAACCAGCACTTGAAAGCTCATGTATTCCCTTCATAGTTAAGCAGGAAGGCTAAACCAGGAGAATGCCGATTAAAAAACTGTTGATAGGCCTTCAACACTGAGTGTGCCATGGTTTGTCAGGGATTAGTTTACGGCAAAGAAGTGGTCTGGAAACTTTTCATTTTAAGCTAGCAATATCTAAGTTACATTCAAATAAAAAGTTAGCTGGGTCATGGTAGCACACGCCACCTTTAATCTCAGTACTCAGAGGCAGAGGCAGGAGGATCTCGGTGAGTTCAAGGCCAGCCTGGTCTACAGAGCAAGTTCCAGGACAGGCTCCAAAGCTACACAGAGAAACCCTGTCATGAGAAACCAACCAACCAAACAAACAAAAAATTTGAAGTTTAGATTTGCAAGGTTTCTAAAGTTGAAAAGAAAAATAACATAAAGCTAGAATTATAAAAGTACTCCTCCGAATGCTGACCATGTAGCTGTGCTGGCAAAGCCTGACTTCCTAGTTCTGGTTCCCAGGCACTCAGGGAGTTTACATTTACCTGGGTTTTCTCATGAGTGCTTCTGCAGAACTATTTCTGCTCAGTTCTTAAGCAGAGCCTTGCTGCCTCCTCTCCCCGTCACTCCTTGCACCAGGGTCTCCCCACTCCCACTGTAACCCTTCTACATCCTGGAAACTATGGACCATTTTAGTAATGAAAGGCCAAATGAAAATGGACACCATTACATTTTCAGAATACAAATGAATGTGTACATTTTCTGTTCCTAAAAGGAGAGAAAAAAAAAAAAAAACAAACCTTGCCTGCTAATTTTCAAACTCTTAAATAATTTGATAAAATTTTTTTTTTTTGCCTGTAATTGTCAACATCTTGAGACTTGTGATTAAACTCATGCTACATAGTTACTTGCCTTTATGTGAAAGGAAACCCCAGTCCATCAGATCATCAAAGAAAAAGAAGTACTTATACTAGATGCTGTTTAAATTGGTTAAAAACTTGTCAGAGCCCAAGTAAGTATCTTTAGGAGGCCACTAAGTTATCCTTGAAAAATCATTAATGACTGGGAAAGTCATAAGCTTAATAGTAATTAGTTCATGACATGCTGGATACACCCCAAGTGACGAAGCATAAGCTATTCAGTTAGACGTAAGTGCTATCAAATCCATAACTAGTCAGAGATCCTGGAATTGAACCAAACCAATCACTACTATCATCATATTTTAACAAACTCAGAAATATACTGTAAAATCCACTAATTAAGTCCAAGAGGCTTATACTGCTAGTATATGTGAAAATAGGCTAGTGTGAATATGTGGTGCTGATGCCTTGCTTCTTTCAGTATCCTCGTGGTATTGTTGAATCTCTTGAAAATATGTCACTCAGTTCTGTGTACATGGTTAAGGTATTAGATTACTATCCATTAACTGCAGATTTCTGCATGGCACCAAATTTACTTTCAGAAGTAGATCTTACATGGCGGGTACCAAAGTACAATCATCAACTCTGGTTTCTCTATTGACTAACCCTCCTCATTTGGTTAGACAGTGTACACCCGAGTTCTCACAAATCAGAGTTATATCACTTTGAGAGCAGCAATGCGTGATCCAAGGTTCTCCTGAAGGTAGTGCAACAGATGCAGTTCATAATGTTCTCCAGACTCAGGGACTCTGATGCTGTGCCTCTCCTGAGGGTAGATCTTCACAACAAAGAGCAGAGGCAAGAAGACAGAGTTTAGTGATGCTCCTCTTCACAAAACTTTCTGGACACAGTAATGTATTTACACATTGCTTTTTGAGACTGGATCTCATGTAGCCCAGCTCAACTAAAATTCACCCAGTAGCCAAGGATAACTTCAAACTCCAGATCCTCCTGTCTCTAGGGCCCATGTGATAGGATGCTTTCCAGAGATTTCTAACTGGATTATCACTATGGAACACAGTCTCTCTGTGGTACTACATTAATTCATATTATCCCATGGCTCTTCTTATGAGTCTTTATACACCTCACTATAAGGCTTCAGGAGGATTCTTCAGTAGTTCATTGCCTGAGTGTGGTCTGTGGGCTTCAAAGAGTCCTTGGAAACCATTTCAAATGCCATACAAGGTCTAAATTACCTTTAACCCAGCATATGGAAGGTGGGAGGTGGAGGCAGGAGGATCATGAAATTAAGGCCAGCATGACCCTACATAGTGAAATCTTGTTTCAAAAAAAACCAAAACAAACAACACATAAAAACTATGTTTAAAAAAATCTGTAGACACAACTGGCCTTGAGTGTGCTTATTCACTGATTTTGTGTGCTGCTCTGACAATGCAGAATTAATGACCTCAAGTGGTGTCCTTGTGAGGCATGTGGTGAGGCATTGTATTTATCCTGGGAGCTATAGTGGTCTGTATCACATAGATGTAGTAAAAAAGAAACATGCCACTATCATTTAAGTGGTAGTAAACGTCAGAATCTTATAAACTAGAACCTTGGGGTAGACATCTTTTTAACCCTTATGCTACATGATGTTTTAACCAGCAGCTCACTCCTCCTCAGCTGCATACTATTAGAGTGTGGGACTACAAAAATATGGGCACGAGGGGCTGTTGAGATGGCTCAGTGGTTAAAGAACACTGGCTGCTTGTTCTTTCGGAGGCCCTGAGCACCCACATGGCAGCTCATAACTGTCTGTAACTACAGTTCCAGAGGATCTGACACCTTCATACAGACATACATGCAAGCAAAACACCAAAGCACATAAAATATGAATAAATAAGCTGGGCATTGGTGGCGCATGCCTTTAATCCCAGCACTCGGGAGGCAGAGGCAGGGGGGGTCTGTGAATTTGAGGCCAGCCTAGTCTTGAGTTCCATGACAGGCTCCAAAGCAATACAGAGAAACCCTGTCTCAAAAAATCAAGAAAGAAAGAAAGAAAGAAAGAAAGAAAGAAAGAAAGAAAGAAAGAAAGAAAGGGGCATGGGGCTTATGACTCTAACCCTAGCACCTGGAAGGCAGAAGCAGTTCAAGGCCAACTGAGACTATATAATGAGTTCCAGGTCAGCCAGGGATACAGTGCGAGACTGTATCACAAAAAAACCCAACCAACCAAACAAAAAAAACCAAACCAACCAAATAACCACCTCACCACAAAAACAAAATAAAACTGTGATACAATAAAGAGTCAACACTGGGAGATGCTAACGTGGTATTTTTCAGGTATCAATTCAAGAGTAAAAATATTTAATGTACAATGGATTAAAGATTTATTTTATGTGTATGAATATTTTGTCTGGGTGTATGTATGTACACCATGCATATGCCTAGTGCTTGAGTCCAGAGGGCAGCATAAGACCCCCTAGAGCAGTGGTTCTCAACCTTCCTAATGCTACGACCCTTTGATACAGTTCCTCATGTTGTGGTGACCCCTCAACCATAAAATAATAATAATAATAATAATAATTATTATTATTATTATTTCCAGACAGGGTTTCTCTCTGTAACAGTCCTGGCTGTCCTGGTAGACCAGGCTGGCCCCAAATTCACTGAGATCCTCCTGCCTCTGCCTCACAAGCACTGGGATTAAAGGTGTGTCCACCACTGCCTGGCCATAAAATAATTTTTGTTGCTGCTCATAACAGTAATTTTGCTACTGTTACAAATGTAATGTAAATATCTGATATTCAGATATTTACCTCTGTGAAAGGGTCATTTGACCCCCAGATGGGTCATGACCCACAAGTTGAGAACTGCTGCCCTATACCTAGAATTACAGATGGTTCTAAACCATCATGTGGCTGCTGAGAATGGAACCCAGATCCTCTGAAGAGCAACAGGTGCTCTAAACCCTGAACCATGTCTTCATCCCAAGCAAGGTACAATAGATTTTAATGTGACAGAGCATGAAATTTGTATAAACATGGCGTTAGCTTTCTACAAAAGCTTGAAGACTAACTCATTCCTCCCACTTCTTAACATGCACTTAGACCACATTTTCTTCATGTACTTAGATAGATGTCTCTCTATTTCTCCCTGGCTCTCTCTCTGTGTGTGTGTGTGTGTGTGTGTGTGTGTGTGTGTGTGTGTGTGTGTGTGTGTGTGTGTGTGTATGGAGACCAGAAGAGGGTGCCAGATCCTCTGTAGCTTGAGTTACAGGCACTTGTAAGCTGTCTCACATGGATTCTGGGAAGTGAACTAAGGTCCTTCCTTTGCAAGAGCAGCAAGAGCTCTTAACCACTGAGCTATCTGTCTAGTCTGTTTTCATATACTTTAGTCAAGACAACATCAGACTGAATGCAGAAACGAGACTTCTTCAAGGGAGTATTAATAAAAATAAAATAATAGCATTTTTCTCAGTAAGTTCTTTTAGAATTATTTTTCCCCAAGATAAATATGATTTGTGTTAACATAATTTATTATTATTCTTTTATGTATTAATTTTTTAAAGATTTATTTATTATATATATAGTGTTCTGCTTGCATGTCTGCCTGCAGGCCAGAAGAGGACACCAGATCTCATTACAGAGGGTCGTGAGTCACCATGTGGTTGCTGGGAATTTAACTCAGGAAGAGCAGCCTGTGCTCTTAACCTCTAAGCCCCAGAATCATATTTTTTTAGAAAGAGGGTAGCTCAGGTTTCCTCTCTATGTGGCCAAAGCTAATCCTGGAATTCTGGTCCTCATGCCTTGACCTCCTGAGTGCTGCGGGGATTACAGGTATTCACCACCACACCCATTTCATCAAAGCTACACAGAGAAACCCTGTCTTGGAAAACACAAAACAAAGCAATATAAAACAACCCCCCCCAAAAAAAACCAAAACAAGATCATGTAATATTTCCTCACCCATTAAATGGGAGAATGGAAGCAAAGGAAGACAGTGAGTGGGTTCAGCAGCCACTTCCAGGTCTACAGGCTAAACAAACACAGACACATATGCCATGTAATTGGATAAGCCCATGTTTTGGTCAGCCTTAAGCAGAATCTTAGTTTTTTATCAACTAAAGACTAGTAACTATGCCTATTACTTTAGTGTTGTTTGGGGAGAGTGCAGACACAGCTGGAAACTTAGCATTACTCCTCATTTTGTAAGATTTCAAAGTAATCTTTCACTATTTACCACCACATTGAATTTGAAAATGTGGAACAACCCACCTGTAAGTCATAGGGCTTTCCAGCCCTCACTAAAAAACTCAGCAATATACTGGTGTGTGCAAAATGAACATTCTCATCCAAGAACCCGTGTAAGAGGAGTAAGCGATTTGGTCTGGAGGAATAAAAATATTAGAAGATTAGGCAAGATAGAAGAAGGGCATTAGGGCTGACCACTTAGCTCCTTTAAACTAACAACAGGTAATGTTTTTGTACTGTTAGAACGAGGACTCATTATTTCCAGTATTAAATCTATAATATAGTAATCAGACACCACATGCAATGAAGAATGAAAAGAAAAGCATGTTCAGCTTCTTAGTATTTACTGCATGTTCCTAGAACATGTTTGTGAAAATAGTGGCTGACACAGACTTCCTTCCACTTTGACACAATTACGGACTTAAATTTCTTTCAGTGTAAGCAACTGCTTCATATATTATTTGTAAAGATAAATAAATAACCATAAATACATTAAAAAAACTTCCAATACAGTATCTGAACTAGCTTTTAATTTGGCTCTGAGCAACATCCATTCCACTCTAGCAGTTTAGCAGCTAGTGGCAGAACACTTGTCTATGCAATGGTTTGGGCTCAATCCCCAGTACTGAGGGGGCAGAAAAAAGGATCTTTTTAGTATTTACAAAAGATTAATCTTAGTTTTAGTTTTTAGTATTTAGTTTTTATCATTTGTAAAGTTTTTAAAATACCATTTAAAGTTGAAAGCCTTCATTTTAAAGCATGAACTTACTCTGAGGGGAACTTCTCCGCTTGCATGGCCACAGACCCTAAGTAATAGCCCTGTTCATTCTGATCTGGGTGGCCCATATAACGTTCCGTGTATCCTGTATCATAGAAGATCCACAGAGTGACTGGGGCCCCAGCAATAGCAACCTGCGTATGACAACATGGACAGTCAGCTGTATCCCAGAAAAGAGTGCTAGTAGACAGAACTTACAACAGCAAATGTATAAGCTAAAATTATCCTTGCAAGGCTTTAGTCCCTATTACTGGGCACATATCTCAGACATGCAGAAACCTGAAATCAGGTGCCAAGGTCACAAATCTGATACTCTGTGAGTCGGTAAGCTTCATGTCCCAAAGCCATAACCCGCACTAACTCCTAAACCAGGGACAGTTGAAATACGAACTGTAAGTCTCTGTATCCAAAGCAGGTACTGAAAGAAAGTGTGAAAACCAACTCCCACTGGGAAACAGGTGTGACAACTGCCAACTTCATATAAAAAAAAAGCTCCTACTGTTTCACATTTTCCTCTTCCTTTTTTTTTTCTCTCTCAAAACGGTTTCTCTGTGTAACAGTCCTGGCTGTACTGGAACTCACTTTGTAGAGCAGGCTGGCTTCAAAGTCATTGAGATCTGCCTCCCAGGCATGCCCCACCAATGCCCAGCCAGCTTTTTTTTTTTTCTTTTCAACACAGAATTTAAACAATTGGACTATACTTAAGTAAAACTGGCCTCATTTAAGGCTCCTATGTAGTTTCATATGTAGATATTCTAACTAACTTTATTTTAAAGACAGTGTTTCATTATGTAGGCCAGGCTGGCCTCAAGCTGGCAACCCTTCTGTTTCTCTGACCCAGGTCCTAGGCCTACAGGTGTGTGCTGCCAAGCCTGGCTACTTTGTTTCTAAAGATTACTTCTCATAAACAGGGCATGCTAATATACACCTGTAATCCCAGCACTTAGAAGGTAGAGGCAGGAGGAGCCAAAGTTCAGGATCATTTTCAGCCACACCAGAAGAGCCAGCAGAACACATGAAACCTTGTCTCAAAACAATCCCCCTCAACAAAAGATTAAAGAATTTCTCATTTTAAAATAAAATCATATTGCTGACATAAAAATTACTGTTCTTAAGTTTGGCCTGGTGTACCCCTTTAGTCCAGCACTTGGGAGGTAGAGGCAGAAGCAGGCGGATCTCTGAGTTTGAGACCAGTCTGGTTTACAAAGTGAGTTCCAGGACAGCCAGGGCTGTTACATAGAGATACCTTGTCTTGAAAAAGCAGAGAAAAAAAAAAATTTACTGCTCTCAATTCACTTTTTTGCTAATTTTTCTCTTATTTACACTTAGCTATTTAGCTATCCGTCTGTGCATGTGTGGTCACACATATAAGGTCAGAGTTTGTTCTTCCACTGTGTTGGGGCACTGAATTTAGTTCATTAGGCTTGCTGGCAGATACTTTACCTGCTGAGCTACCTCACTAGACCCTTTTTTTTAAACATTAAATAAATTATATTTTTATTTATCTTGTGCGTGCACAAGTATGTGTGACTTTGTGAGGGTGTACATGTGCCATGGCATGGCTGTAGAGGTAGGAGGACAACTTTAGGGAGGCTCTTTCATTCCACCACTTGAGTCCTAGGAATCAAACTCAGGCTGTCAGGCTTGGCAGCAGGCTTACCTGAAGACACATCTCATCTATCCATTCACCCCTGCTTTCTGAGTAACTGTCATCTTTATATTTTTCTTTAGTCTAAGAAAATGGTCTAAGAATTTGAAGAATTATAAGCATGTAAATACTCAGTTCACTCAGTGAGCTGGGTTTGTAGCTTGCTAGTAGAGCATATGCCTCAGTATACAAGAGGTCCTGGGTTCAAACCCCACTATTATCAAAAAATTAAATTAAAGAAAAATTCAGTTCATTCAACATGATTTTTTTGAAGTGCTGGAGATCCAGATCAGGGCCATGAACTGGGTGCAGAAATATTGAGGATTCACTTGTGGTACACACTGCTCACTGTTAATATGCCAGGGCATAGGGCAAAGTTGTAGTTTAGTAATCCAGGAAGTATATATATGTTTCACTAATCATAACTACCAATCTTTGGCATATATAAGTAGTTATAAACTGGTGCCCAAGCTGACAGCTGTTTTAAAAGCTATTTAACACTGCAGATACGTTTCCCATGCTGTGAAACACATAAACCCAACATTCTACAATATTGACAACACCTGGCCCTTCAGAAAAATCATTTCCATGTGTCTTCAATTAACAGAGAATTCTGCCCAATTACAAAAACAAATACAATAGTAGCCACATACCCTGAAGATATCCGATCTCTGCATTAATGCCATCAGGGAAAGATAGCCTCCATAAGACCAGCCATGGATGCCCACACGATCCAAGTCAATGAAGTCATACTGAGACGCTAGGTACTGGAGTCCTTCCACTTGATCATCGATTTCTATTTGACCCTGTCAAAAATGGGGGATAGTCACTGGTTTTCACACATACTAGTCTTAGAGAATTCTTTCAAAGCTGCTTCGTGTTTTACTAAAAATTCCTGAAGGATTTTATTTTTTTTTTAGATTAGAATTTATTAACAACTGATATTCTATTTTCCCTCAAGAAATTTTTAAAAAATTCATTTATAGGTAAGGGCCTGCGGCTTCTGTTGCTACCCTGTTGGGAGTTTAGTTTCCACATAGTCATCAAGTTCTTTCCTGTCACTGTCCATACTGTCCCTAGCTGCAGGGTGTCTCCCACTCCATTTGTTCTGTTGTCTGCTAAGAGGCCAGCAACTTCCTTGTAACAAGCCTTCCTCTATCCAAAGACAAAAATTCAGCCCCTTTAAGATTTTACTTCTCCTTTTAGCACTTAGTGCAGCAAAGCAAAGGCCTGAACTTCCTTTCTTCCAGCACGATACTTCTAGCAAAGCTCTGGATGTCCTAATTCTTACCAGTACCACCCAAGGTATCACTTGGCCTGCCAGTGCACACAGTTTCACTTCACTGAGCCAAAACCAAAAAATAAAACAACAACAAAAAAACTTACATGAGAATACAACATAAGGCCAAAGAACTGGCTGTGGGAGACCATCCCATGTCTTACTCAGCATGTCCAACACACTGGCAGCCACAGGGACTGCCTTACTGTGCAAAAGGAACATCGGACTGTCATCATTTCCCAAAGCAGCAGAAAGGACCTGGGGCATCTCTAAAAGGTAGCATTTAAAGCTTCCTGCAGAGAGAAAGAGGCTTGTCACAAGGAAGGAACTACCCAGTCGGTTTCCCTCTTCACAGAGGACAGAACAAATCTCAGTTATTCCGCAGTAGTATATGGGACTCTGCAAACCAAACAGGGCTGCCTTATGGCTAAGATCAAAACAGAAACTGCCTTTGTTTGTGTCAAAACAAAAATGCCTTTCGGGCATTTTTATGCAAAAGTAGCGGTACCTCAGCTCCTGGGAGATATACAGGTAAGACAGGAGTGAGCCTAATGTAAACCAAACTGTACCTTTTATCCCACTGCTCAGTTCTAGCACATTCTCCTTCACTGTCACTCAGGACCTCCCCCAACTCAAAGTGTAAGAAAATGAAAACATATGAAAAAGAAAGTGTTCTATGCTCACACACCATTTTATATTTAAAGGCGCCTTCAAATTTAAGACCTCGGTGACAGGATCCCCTGTTGTCTATCACCACAACCACATAACCGAGGGAGGCCAGGGTGTTCAGGCGGAAATACTTGACTCCTTTAAATCGATTGTTCACCAGCTGTACCTGGAAAAGAAACATATCTTCAGTGAATTATGTGGCAGCACACAAAACATGAGATGGAAAGACACTGCAAACGTTAGAAAGCTGAATGTACTTACTATTATCTTGTCTTTAAAATGTTAAGTATGAAGCGATACATTTTTAAATTTACTCAAGTCTTTGAGTGTGTATGCTGCTCCATGCTTAGTTTCACTCTCAAACCCTCACAGCAAATACATCACAACTGCAGAGTTCATTCTAGCTCAGATAATTAAGATTTAAGTAAGGTAAGAGAGTAAGCTGTTCAATTATATACTCCGAAGAAGAGTTATGCCACTCAAGTAACAGTGAAAATGGCAAATTAAGAATATCTTCAAGTCCCCATCTGGAGTTGTTGCTGAGTGACAGTGGGAAGATGTGGTTGTTTTTGTTTGTTTGTTTGTTTTTCAAGACAAGTTTTCTTTGTATAACAGCTCTGGCTGTCCTGGAACTTGCTCTGTAGACCAGGCTGGCCTCAAACTAACAGCCTCTGCCTCCTGAGTGCTGGGATGAAAGGCATACAACACCACAGCCTGGCAAGATGGATCATTTTAATGAACACTGTGATCAGCCTAGTTATCTTTTGCCTGTTAGACATATTAGTGTGAAAGTATCATAATTTTAAAATTATTTTATCACCCTCAAGACTACATACACTTCAGAGTGACCAAGAACATAAATGCATCTTGGTGCTTTATTAGAAATGGAATTGTTTCTAGTGAAAAGATGATTCAGTCACATCCAGCATGTTCATGTTTCATTTAGCTCAGGGCACTCATGAAATGGTGGTCCCATGGGATCACGATGGAGTTGAGAACCTCCTGTCATCTAATGACAGCACAGCTGGCATGACACGCACATTACTCCTGTGCTTGGGAGAATGACATGTAACCCAGCTACTGCACTGCCAGGGTTATGAAAGAGAGCACATGTAATTATGCACTTGAACAATGGCTGGTAAAAGATTACTAGGTTACTGGTGTATGTGTGTGTTTTGTTTTGGTTCTGGTTTTTTGAGACAGGGTTTCTCTGTGTAGCTTTTAGAGCCTGTCTTGGAACTAGCTTTTGTATATCAGGCTGGTCTTGAACTCACAGAGGTCCAACTGCCTGTGCCTCCCCAGTGCTGGGATTAAAGGTGTGAGCCACCACCTCCCAGCTGGTATATGTGTTTGTATATGTGTGTATCTGGCAAAATGTGGGGATTGAACCTAGGGCCCCACACATGCTAGGCAATCACCACTTTGCTACATCCTCAGCTTCCCCTTTACTTCTATTTTTACAGACAGAGTTGCTAAGTTGCCATGGCTGGACTTGAATTCACTGAGTAGATGAGTCAGGTTTTGAACTTTGAATCCTCCTGTCTCTATCTCCATCTCCCCCTAAGCTGGGATTGCAGGTGTGTACCACTGGGTCCCATTTATGATATTTTAGTCATTGTTTGAAGTGTCTTCCTGCTAATGATAATGGAAAGAGTTTAGGGCCAGGTGGTGGTGGCGGTACACACTTTTTAACCCCAGCACTCGGGAAACGGGGGCAGAGGAATCGCTGAGCTCAAGGCCTGTGGTGGAATATTATTTTAAGATGCGTTACATTTGTCGGGTGGTGGTGGTGGTGGCGCACACCTTTAATCCCAGCACTGGGGAGGCAGAGGCAGGTCTATGAGTTCAAAATCATCCTGGTCTATAAGAGCTAGTTCCAGGATAGCCTTCAAAGCCTGTCTCAACCCCCCCCCCCTCCACACACACAAAAGAAGTGTTACATTTGTTTATGCTGTGGAACATTTGTTTTAATGATGCAAAGATGCCTGCCTAAAACACCTGATTGGTCTAATAAAGAACTGAATGGTCAAGAGCAAGGCAGGAGAAATGATAGGTGGGGCTGCCAGGCAGAGAGAATATAGGAAGAGAAATCTGGGAGGGGCAAGATCTAGGAGTGAGAAGAGGAATGGATGACATTAGGCGCCTGCCACCCAGCTACACAGCAAGCCACAGAATAAGAAGTAAAGAAAGGTATATAGGATAAAAATAAAAGTCCAAAGGCAAAAGGCAGATAGGATAATTTAAGTTAAGAAAAGCTGGCTAGAAACAAGGCAAGCTAAGGCCAGAAATTTATAAGAACGAATAAGCCTCCATCTATATGTATCTGGGAGCTGAGTAGTGGGCCCCCAAAAAGTAAAAAACTATAGAGGCCAGCCTGGTCTACAAACATGTTCTAGGATTAGCTAGGTGACACAAAGAAACCCTGTCTTGAAAACCAAAACAAAACAAAAAGATTTTTAGGGTTATTTGTGTAGCTCAGTCATGGCCTGGATAATTAGTATGCAGAAAGTCCTGGGCTCAGTGCCCAGGATCATACACACAAGATTCACATATAAAAACAATATGGTTCCACTGCAGCAGCCTTACCCATCTCCATGTGTGTTGCACATCAGCACTGTGTGAAGAAGTCCCATCAAGTGTGCCAGCTAGGTCTGTATAAGCATCTACTCTATGCTCATACAATGATAAAGTAGCCTACTGACATTTCCCAGAAAGTTTCTGAACTGTAAAGCAACAAGTGATTGTAATCGGCAGTGCTGGACACTAAGATAGATATTGAAAAGAGGCTCTGATAAAAATGGGAGGGAGCCAAGCATAGTGGCACACACCTTTAATCCCAGCATTTGGGAGGCAGAGGTAGGAGGATCTCTGTGAGTTTGAGGCCATCCTGGTCTATAAATCAAGTTCCAGGCCAGCCAGAGCTACACATTGAGGCCTTATCTCAAAATAAACAAACAAACAAACAAACAAACAAATAAAGGGGTGAGGGATGGAGAAATGGCTCAGTGGGTAAAAGGCCTGCTGTGCAAGACTGGTGACCTGAGTTTGATTTTCTGGAACCCATTAAAGGTAAAGAGAAAACTGCATAAAGCTGTTCTCTGACCTCCACATGCACTGTGGTGCCCACTCCCTGTGTATCATGCACACACACATATTCATACAAAATAACGAGAGGGGGTGGGAAGGTTGGGTGCACTGAGGCCTGTAGTCTCAGCCACTGAGGAGGCTAAGGCAAGAAGACCACTTGAACCTAGGAGTTCTGACTAGCCTGGGTAATAAAGTGAGACCTCTTCTCACAAATTAAAAACAAAGCAGGGAAACTTTTTATTAAAGCAGCCAGGCCATTTCCTTGCCCACCATACCATGTGAGGCTCTGCTTTAACCAAGGCATGGAACTGGAGCTCCCTGGTAACTGAGGAGTCTGTGTCTTCTCTCCTACACACAGCTGCTACCATGTATCTGTATTCTGTGAAATGTCCATTCAAATCTCTGGTTATTTATTTATTTATTTATTTATTTGTTTGTTTATTTATTTATTTTGGTTTTTCGAGACAGGGTTTCTCTGTGTAGCTTTGGAGCCTATCCTGGCACTTGCTCTGGAGACCAGGATAGCCTCGAACTCACAGAGATCCACCTGTCTCTGCCTCCTGAGTGCTGGGGTTAAAGGCATGCGCCACCAATGCCTGGCTTGATTTTTTAAAAACTCAGTTATTAGCACATGATGGGAGATGTCCTTCTATATATGTTTCTCTTATTGGTTGATGAATAAAACACTGTTTGGCCAATAGAGGCAGGAATATATGTGGGGCTAGAAGATGAGAAGAATTCTGGGAAAGGTAGGCAAAGTGAGACGGAGAGGGACACCATGTAGAGACCAGGAAGACAGGATGTGACAGGCATTCTCTGGTAAGATAAGGCCATGTAGAAATACATAGATTAGTAGTTATGGATTAATAATTAGGAGAGAGCTAGCCAATAAGAAGCCCTAGTCATCAACCAACAGTTTAATAATTATTTTAAGTCTTTGTGTGTTCATTTGGGGCTAAAGTGGTGGGACCTGGCAGAAGAGAAAAACTCTATCAAGAAGCACATATAAGCAGCATTAATTGGACTTGGAGTTATCAATAACAAAGAAGAGGATAGGAGGTTGTGAAAGAGATAGGGTGGGAGCACTAGGACAGACAGACAGAATCAGCAGTGGATGGATATGCCCAAAATGCATTGTATAAATGTGTCAGGTTTTAAAGAAAAAAAAAATTACTAAACAATGCAGTTGTCAAGTAAAAGTTTTTCTTTTCTTTTTGCTTTTTCGAGACAGGGTTTCTCTGTATAACTTTGGAGCCTGTCCTGGAACTTGCTCTGTAGACCAGGCTGGCCTTGAATTCACAGAAGATCCATCTGCTTTTGCCTCCCAAATGCTGGGATTAAAGGCGTGCACCACCACTGCCTGGCTTAGATTCAGTTTTTAATTCTTTAAAAAAAATCTATTATTACAACTGTGGGGTATGCATGTATATACTGCTTATCTATGAATGCATCTGTGGGGGAGGGGACAGTTTTAGGGCTTGTTCTTATTACACTGTGGCTCAGGTAATCTAACTTGGACTGTCAGGTTTGCATGTGTGGCAAACTCATTTACCTGTTGAGTCTCCTTGCTGATTTCTAAAAGTCTCTCTCTCTCTCTCTCTCTCTCTCTCTCTCTCTCTCTCATCTCACTATGTAGACCAGTAGACCAGACTGGAGATCTACCAGCCAATACCTCCAGAGTGGTGCTGGGATCAAAGGTATGTGCCACCATACCCGGCCTAGTTTTTCTATTAAAATGCTGGAAAGAGGGCTGCAGAGATGGCTCAGAGGTTAAGAGCACTGACTGCTCTTCCAGAGGTCCTGAGTTCAATTCCCAGCAACCACCTGGTGGCTCACAACCACCCATAATGAGATCTGGTGCCCTCTTACAGATACATGGAAGCAGAATGTTTTATTCATAACAAATAAAAAAAATTAAAAAAAAAAAAAAAAAGCTGGAAAGAGCCAAGCATGAGCAGACCCCACCCTGCCTGTCTGTGCTCTCTGTGTCTAACATCATTGCAACAGTTGCCAAACTGGCCTTCCTGCTTCTAGTCTTACCCTCTATATATCTTCAGGCATAAACAATAGTATTTTCAAAATGTAAATGAGGTTATGACTGTTGCCTGGATCCTTCCTACTTCTATCATTAGCCTTCACCAAAAACATTTAAAAGCCAACCCCCACTTTGGCACTGGGGGTTGAATCTAACATCCCAAATGCCAGGCCAGTGTTCTCCAGTAAGCTGAGGGCTAGCCCAAGGTGGCCTCTGTGGCCTTTATGATCTTAGATTATGTGGGCCTTGGGTGATCTGAGTCTACTGCTCCCCTCCCACTGTGAGCTAAGTCCCATCCTGCACCAACAGTATCAAGGGTTCTTACTCCAGGACCTTGTTTATTGTTCCTTCTGCCCTGGAAGAAGGCTGAACAGCACCAATTTCTTCTCAGTGTGTATAACATAGGACCTCTGTTACTATTTTGGGAATGAATGAATACAAATGTAAGTTACTAGAGATTTGATACTCTCTTCTGAACTCGGCAGGCATTAGGCAGGCACATAGTGCAGACATACATGCAGACAAAAATACTCATACACATAAAATAAAAATCACCTAAAATATATATATACATGTATGTATACATATTTACATGCGTTTATATACTCACCTGGGGACCACCATATATGAAGAGCACAGTGGGATATTTCTTTCCAGGTTGTAGGTCATGAGGCTTATATAACATCCCATACAGTGTAAATCCAGTAGTACTTTCAAAAGAAAATATTTCTGGAGGGGTATAGTCAGGAAGAGGACCTGTGGGTAGCAACAGAGCCTGTAAAGAAGTTCTCAGAGGCACTCTGCAATCTGAAGTTAAAGAAGAAAGTATTGAAACGCAGCTCTTCTCCCCAACAACCACCATCCTTCTTTCAGGTTAATCAGTTTATTGTTTATCTAAGCAATAAACAGGCATTTTTAAACAAAATGAATGAATACCAAATTGTTTTTTTTTTTTCAAATTCAGACACATTGAATCTTGAATAACCTTTGGAGTCTAGGAAGTGTTTATATGCAGAACTAACCAAATATGTTGTGCTAAGTTCAGTCATCACTTTTTGGTGGTTAAACCATACACCTGATCAGAAACAGGCAGGCATGCATTTCAAAAAAGTTGTGGGTAGGGAACAAGAACCTTATATTTAACGTAGTTATTTTAGCCTGTTTATAGCAGGTGCTCATCAAAATACACTTGTTTCTGATCAATTTAGCCACCACCACCCGGCTACATTTTCTTTTAAAATTTATTTATTTAATTATTTATTTACTATTATTAATAATAAATATTCTCTCCTGGCCTCTATGGCACACATGTGGTACCCACACTCACGTGGCACCCACACTCACATGGCACCCCCCACACACACACACACACTCATTCACATAAATAAAAATTTAAAGAAAGATGGTGATAGGTAATCTTATCAGTTGTGAAAATGAACCTCTGGGCATGTATGTGAGGGATTTTATAGATTAGGTTAATTGAGGAAGACCCACTCTAACTGTGGATGGTATGTTTCAGGCTGGGGTCCCTAACAGAATAAAAAGGAGAAGGGGAATTGAGCAACAGAATCCATCTCTCTCTGCTTTCTGACTGGATGCAATGTGACTTCCTTCATTTTAGACTGTACAGTATACTGTGAGTCAAAACAAACTTTTTCATAAGTTGCTTTTGTCAGTTCAACTTATAAGTTAACTAATACAGAAAACAAGCATTAAAAAATAGATCTCGACGGGCGTTGGTGGTGCACGCCTTTACTCCCAGCACTTGGGAGGCAGAGGCAGGTGGATCTCTGTGAGTTCGAGACCAGCCTGGTCTACAAGAGCTAGTTCCAGGACAGCCTCCAAAGCCACAGAGAAACCCTGTCTCAAAAAACAAAACAAAACAAAACAAATAGATCTCATGCCTGAAGTACTAGCACTTTTGAGGCCAAGGCAGGCTAGCTTGTGTTCCATAGTCAAGCCTGGACTACAGAATGAGAGCCTGTCTTTCTACAGTGCTCTTTGCTCTCACAGTGAGCAAGTGTGCTGGCCACTATTAAGATGGCTATGCAAAGACTTTGAAACTTAAAGCAGTCAACGGGTTATTCCCTAAAGGGTCATTCTCTATGCTCAAGGGGTCTTACTAAGTTTAGAATACATTATCCTTTTTGTTTTGCTTTGTTTCTATGAGACAGAGTTTCTCTGTGTAACTCTGTCTTGGAACTCACTCTGTAGATCAGGTTGGCCTTGAACTCACAGAGATCCACCTGCCTATGCCTCCCATGTGTTGGGATTAAAGGCATGCACCACCACCTCCAGGCTCTTAATCTGCTTTTTAAAAAGGCTTTCTAGACATGCTCCTGCTTAGATGAGAGGAAACCCAACTCATTCAGCAGTTTATAGAACAGGAAGTGAGGTCCACCTGAAGCTCAGCAGCTCAGGGACAGGCAAGGCTGAGCAATGAGAAGACAGCCTAAGAGACAGACACAGGACACCAGCACAGTGCATTCTGGTACAAATCTTAGGTAAACCTGGGTTCAGGGAAAGGAGTACCTGCTGAATCCAAAATGGTGGCCCAAAATTCCTTTGTTTTATGAACTGGGTCATCTTCAGGACTTGAGAGTTTGTAGAGGGACACACAGTGTGGATTCTTCTGGTTGCTATACTTACTTATGAAGAAGTCACAATGCTAGAGAAAAGAGAGACAATAACAGCTTTCCATAAGAGAGGCAAGGAAGGCTACCCATGGTTACACACACCAATGCTAGGGCAAGAGGACAATGGGAGTTTGACAGCTGATGCAAACACATAGTGCTTTTCCTAGACAAGGCTTCTGTGGGCCAATGTCACTGTGGGCCAATGTCACTGCTTTTCACAGTACTCAAAGGGAATTTCTATGACAGGATCCCTCCCAACCGGGACAAAGTACCTGGCTGAGGCAGCAGGAGTGTGAGTAGCCTCGGTCAGTCAGCCTCACCACTTCGCCAGGGTTTGCATAACTGGTCACATACAGGTGATGCTCCAAGGGAGAGTCCTTGGTGCCTTCAAAGTATACCAGCTTTCTGACTTCATCAATCCAGATCTGCAAAAATCACAGCACAAATCAGTATCAGCCAAGTGCTGACAAGGCCAGCAACACACAGACAGTCCCATGTTGTTCACAATCACCGGATTCCTCTGACCTGGGCTTCTTTTGTCTTTACTTTGCTACAGATGACAATGTAATTGGTTTTGTTGATGGCTAAAACCAGATCTTGCCCAGAAGGTAAAAGGCTGAATCACACATGATTGGGATAATGTCCTGATCAGATTGCATTGTGTACTTCCCTTAAAATATGGGGATTATTTCCTTACAACAATAATAATAATTCCTCAGGGGGAAATATCCTACATCGTACCTCATTTTGCTCCTTGGAAGAGATTAACTTTCTCTCTCTTGCAGCCAGTGCAGTGTTAGCTTAGTACTTTTTTAGATCTTTTATACAAATTTGCAAAAGCGTTTTATCTATCAGGTTGAAAAATAACTGAAATCAACTAGCTTCAGTGACAGTGTAGTTTATAAATAAGCAAGGGTAAGATTTATTTTAAGCATTGATACTGGATATGATACAGTGTCCCCAGCCCTGGATAAGTTCTTTTAAGTTACTATCTAGAACTGAATTCACTTAATATTCTTGCCAAATTATAGTAATATAAATGTTTTTCTTTCATTGCTACTTTAAAAATATTCTACTAGCCTATTGAAAATTTTCTATAATTCCAAATGTCTTATAGAGAGAAAAGATAAATTCTAAAGTATTATAAATCTCTCTTTCTCTCTCCTCTCTCTCTCTCTCACACACACACACACACACACATACACACACACCTTTCATTATTAACTCTCTAAAGTAGATTCATCCATTCCTAAATGAATACAGTTGCTCTGGGAAACAAACATTCAAGAATCCCCATAGGCATGTATTATCTCTCCAGAAGGTCAGGCTGATTTTACAGCAGAAGCAGCAGGGACTCAGGCCTTTCTACACTGACTGGACAGCTGATGCAAAGACACAGTGCTTTTCACCCCCATCTGCAAGGTTCTTTACTTTGTTTCATGTAAGCACTTATTTTCAATAGGATTAGAGTCTCCAGGAATGCTTGCTGAACAGATTGCTGGGTCCTACCACCAGTTTCTGAGGAGGACTGGGTTGAGCTGAATCTGCATTTCTAGCATGATCCTACACGATTTGCATGTTCCACCCATGGTCTGGGACCACACTGAATATCCCCCTCAACAGTAAGAGTTACATGAGCTTAAGCCTGAGAGTTTTATGCAGTTGTTGCTGTGAGAAGTCTGAGTAGAACAGAATGACTCGTAAAAGTCGAGGTAAAAAGGCAACATAAATACAAACAAACAAACAAACAAAGCAAAGATACAGGAAAGAAGAGGAATAATTTGAGAGGAACAAACATCACAAAATTTAACGTGGCTCAAAAAACTCATGCCCACATGGGTGAACAGAAGTCATTAAGGTTGCCCAAATAAGGGCCTTTCTGCTTATGTGATTTTGGGATTTATGTCAGTATCATATAGTAAGTAGCTCTTAACTCCAACCACTACAATTCATGGAATTACAAAAACATTGTTTTGTTTTATATATATGTCTGCCTGCATGTGTGCCACAGCATGCATCTGGCACACAGAGGACCATATGAGGGAGCCACATCTCTCCTTGTACTATGTAGGTTCTAGGAATGTAGCTCTGGCTGTGAGACTCGGCAGCAAGCAACTGTACCTGCTGAGACATTTTGACGGCTTAGGAAAATCACATGAATGTGATTTTTATTATTAGAACCTAGAATTCCACAATGAGATTTCTTCCCTCAGGCATTAGCCAGAGGTAAAACAAACAAACACACAAACAGTATTTGGATATGTAACCTGACAACTATGTGAGACCCTAGTGAACTCAGACTTAAAAGGCTGCCCACAGTAAGACTTTATTTTCATGTGCAGTTTTAGACTCCAGGAGGCAGGCACTGAGGCCTGTGCTGAGTAGCACATCTCCATGGGGGTGTCTTACCCACACTAGTCTAAGGATTTTACAAACAAAAAAAATAGGGGACCAGAATTTGTGTGTGTTTGTGTGTATGTACATGTTCATGTGTGTGTGCTCATACATGTTGAGGTGTGTGTTCACAAGTGTAAGAATGTATGCTCACTGTGTGTGTATGTTCAGTTAGAGGTGGGTGTTAGGCAGGCCTGTATCATGCAGGCCCTGGAGAGCAGATCGCAGGTACTGTGCTTGTACCGTAGCTGCGTCCCCAAACTGAGCCATCTCCTCTTTATTCCACTTCTTCAATCACCTCAGAGGCCATCAGTATTTCTAAAGATGTCAGAACATGTAATATTTCCATAAATTTGATAAAATCATACTCAGGCCACTACTAGATCCTGGTGGCACACATCCATTTAACTGTATGAGCCAGAAGGAAGGAATTTCTAGAGATCGGATGAAACCAACTGAAAGTAAAGGCAAAGGGCCTTTCAGTCAAGGCCTGCCCACCTGCTCTACAAAGTGAAGCTCAAGGCCAACCTGGGCAACTTTGCAAGACAGACCCAGTCACAAGATAAACAGACAAAAGTAGCTGGGATGTGGCTTAACACTAGAGCACTCGCCCAGCATTGCAGGCTGAATTTGATCCCAGTTTTGGCCAAAAACTTCACAATCAAAGGTTCTCAATAATTGTTACAGAAAGCCACATGCTCAGAGAAAAGCTCTTCCCTGTTAATCTTAGTTCAAAAAACTTAAATCTGTGACATAAGACAAAAACAAGTGAATGAAAGAAAATTTCTACCCTCAAGAATGCTAAATATAATTCCCTATGTCCCTATGTAAAAACATGAACAGTTTATTAAACCTAAAAATTTTCAGGTTATACACTAACTCAAAACTTTTTAAATCCCTAAACATACAAATTGTTTCTTTACTAAATGGCAATAATATATTTGAAAATGGAGATCTTGGGCTGGAGTGACGGCTCAGTGGTTAAGGGCACTGGCTGCTCTTCCATGGTTCAATTCTCAGCAGTCATACGGACTCACAACTGTCTACACTGTCAGTTCTAGGGGATCTGACACCCTCTTCCAGCCTCCATGGACACTAGGCAGGCATGTGGTGCACAGACATGCATGCAGGCAGAACAGTCCTACACAAAAAAATAAAAAAATAACGGAAAATGGTAGTCTTTAGTAACTGGATTCATCTTATCTTATACCTATAAAATAAGTGAGCTTGGGCTGGAGAGATGGCTCAGTGGTTAAGAGCACTGGCTATTCTTCCAGAGGACTCAATTCCCAGCACCCACATGGCAGCTTACAACTGTCTGTAACTCCAGTTCCAGGAGATCTAACACCTTCACACCAATGCACATAAAATAAATTTAAATAAACTAGTTTAAAAAAAAATAAGTGAGCTTTATAATTTTTTAATTTTTTAAAAAATTTATTTTAATTTTTTTTTAAAGACAGCACCTTACAATATAGCCCTGAGTGGCCTAAAACTTGGTAGGTAGACCAAGCTGGCCTCAATCTTACAGAGATCCACCTGCTTCTGCTTCCCAAGTGCTAGAAGTAAAGCTGTGTATCACCATACTCTGATTAAACTGAGATTCTTCTTTTCTAACAACTTGTATATTCTTCTAGGCCCTAACTTAATATTGTAAAACACTGGGGTCCTACATACTTATATACATACATATATTGTATTATTCATTTTTTCTGCACTCTATACAGAGCAGAGGCTGACCAAACACATCAGTGGAATAAAGAGTCATACATTAGATCCATGCCGGCCAAGAACTTCCCATTCACCACTGGTAATTGCTATTTCTTCTTTGATAGGACACTTGAAATCACCTGAAGATGAATACAATCAACATTTAGTACTTTATTCCAGATCATAAACAAATGAAACAATATAGAAAAGTTTTCTAAACTGTCTATTCCAAAAAGCTACAATGAAACAAAAACAAAAACATCAAGGTTAGGTTTGCCATAATGAAAATGTCTTGGAACTAGATAAAGACAACAGTTGATAATATTGTACTAAATGGTATTGAGTGACAAAAACTTACGTTCAATTCTAATACAGCATGTATGTGTTTGAGAAACAAAGAACACAAATGGAAGATACCACTTTACATCTATAAGGGTGGCTATTAAAAAAAAAAAAAAACCAACACCTGGGTATAGTGACACACCTTTAACCCCAGCACCTGGAAGGCAGAGACAGGTAGATCTTGGTGAGTGCAAGGCCAGCCTGGTCTACAGAGTGATTTCTAGGACAGCCAGAGCTATACAGTGAGACTCTGTCTTCAGAAAAACCAAGGAAAAATAAACAAACAAATTCACAAGTCAGAGAAATAAAACATAAACATATAAAAGCAAGAAAACAGAAAATAACAAGTATTGTCAAGGATATAAAGAACTAAAACTTGGGGCTGGAGAGATGGCTCAGGGGTTAAGAGCACTGACTGTTCTTCCAGATGTCCTGAGTTCAATTCCCAGCAACCACCTGGTGGCTCACAACCATCTATAGTGGCATCTGATGCCCTCTTCTGGCATAAAGTCGATAGAGCACAAATATACATAAAATAAATAAATCTATCTTTCTTTCTTGTTTTTTTTTTTTTTTTTTGAGACAGGGTTTCTCTGTCACTTTGGAGGCTGTCCTGGAACTAGCTTTTGTAGACCAGGCTGGTCTCGAACTCACAGAGATCCTCCTGCCTCCCAAGTGCTGGGATTAAAGGCATAAGCCACCACTGCCTGGCCATAAAATAAATAAATCTTAATGGAAAAAAAACACTGTACAAACAAATGTGACATATACTACAATAGAATATAGTCTTAAAATATTTATTTTTATTGTATGTGTATGTGTGAATGCCTGCATGTATGTATTCACATGCATGTCTGAAGACAGAAGGCAGCATTGGATCCTCTGGAAATGGAGTTATGGGTGGTTGGAAGCTGCCATGTGGGTGCTGGGAAGAGAATCTGGGCTCTCTGCAAGAGCAGCAAATCCTCTTAACCATTGAGCTATCTCTCTAGTATCCCTATATAAATTTTATTTTGCAAAGTTTTTAAAACCTAGTGGGGTGGTGTAAGCTTCCCATTCTAGCACTTGAAAGGCAGAGGCAGATAGATCTCTGCCAATCTGAGGACAGTTAGGTTTGCATAATTAGTTCTAGGCTAGCTGGAGCTACATAGTGAGACCATGTCTACAAAAACAGTTATTTAAATAAAAAAAAAAAAATAACGTGGGTTCATTTTTTTTGTACATGTGCTGATGAACCAAGTGCATGTAGGTTCATTTTAAACAAATTAAAAATTGTAATCAAGGGCTGGAGAGATGGCTCAGAGGTTAAGCGCACCGATTGCTCTTCCAGAGGTCCTGAGTTCAATTCCCAGCAACCACATGGTGGCTCACAACCATCCGTTATGAGATCTGGTGCCCTCTTCTGGTGTGCAGATATACATGGAAGCAGAATGTTGTATACATAATAAATAAATGAAATCTTTAAAAAAAATTGTAATCAAGGCAAAAGTGTCATAAAAATTGGTATTCTAATCACTTAAAAATTACCCACTATTAATAGCTTAATATGTATTCATTGAGGATTTGCTCAGCTTTTCACATGAATAAATTTGTATTTCAGTTAATATAATGGCATAAATCTTATACACCAAAAAAAAAGTTCTGGTGCTTATAAAGACTATAATGAAAACATTATGGCTGGTGGGAGTGGGAGAAGATCCCTGTCATCAGGCCTGATACCCTGAGTTTGATCCTTGGAACTTACACAGTGGAAGGACAGAAAAGAGTCCTACAAGCTGTCCCCTAACTGCACATGATTGCTCTGTGATCAATTATACAAAACAAATAAAATACAAAAACATTAAGTACACAAATAAGAAAGGCTTCTTACTTGGGGCAGGTAGTCCACCGCTGGATCGTTTATATTTGCTCTCCTTTAAAATGGATATGATTTTATACAAATGACGGAAACCTGTTTTGCATTCAGAGGCAAAAATAAACTCTATTTCATCTTCATGAGTTTGAGGGAAAACATGAAAGATATCGTGGATCTGTAAAATGAACAGCTTAATTTTACTATATGCATTAATAAATATACCACACAGGTCACCAAATGAGAGAAGAAAGAATTACTTGAAATACAGACAGTAATAGGTTTTGTCTGGGCCTTTTACATTTATTTTACTCTTGACAAAGATTTCACACACTCAGAGTAAGTGTTTCCAAATGGAAGAAAGCAAAAGAACAACATGGCCAAGGCTGCTGCTTCCCAGCTCTGGGATATCTGGAGCACATGAAGCTTGTGCAACGGCATAAATCTTATACACAAGCAAGGAGGAACAACATGCTTTACTTTTGTTTTCCAAAGAGAAGTATTCTAACAGTTGAAGGAAAACAGATGTTCATCTGTTTTGGGTGAATCACAGGAAGCCTACTTTCAACTACAGAGAGACAGAAAAATGTTTTTCTTTTATATCTAATTTTTATGTTAAAATGGAAAATGCAAAACTCAATTAAAAACTAGTATATTTGATATAGTTTGCTAACTTAAAAGGATGTTTCTAAACACAACTCTTGGAAGCACAGAGGCTGGAGCTGAGGCTATGGGCTCTCTACCGGGTGTGTGCAGGGCCATAGCTGCAGTTATTAGTGAGCTGCCACTTCAGTGGTATCTACTTTCTGCTGTATACTCTCCATTCTGGGACCATCATTCCAGCTTGAAGTGTTCACTGTTCCTTTGAATTTAAGGATGCATTTCATTAGCTTGTTAAAGACCTTCACCTGCCTGAGTATCCTGAGAAAATACACAGCCATGTCCAAGAAAAAGAAATGCATACATTTATCCAGATGTCTGTTGTTTCTTCATAGATGATCAGTGGTGTCACAGAGTCAGGCACTGACTCTATGAGTCTCTGTCTGTCCATGGCATCATCTTCCACTGGGATGAATAACTCAGGGGAGATCAGAACTATCTGTAGGTGAGTCTGGGAACGATCTAGTAGGATGGACCAGGCACTGTTCAAAGGAACAAGAAGAAATCAAGAATGAAGCAAGCTCTTGGAAATGAATAACCTTCTGTTCTCTCCCTTGTTACCTATCAATTTTATTTTATATATATTTTTTTAGTTTTTCAAGACAGGGTTTCTCTGTGTAGCCTTGGCTGTCCTGGAACTCTTCTGTAGAACAGTCTGGCCTTGAACTCAGACAGCCACCTGCTTCTACCTCCCAAGTGCTAGGATTAAAGGCATGCACCACCACTACCTGACTTATTTTTCTTTTTTCTTTCCTAAAGACTTATTTATTATGTATACATTGTTCTGCCTGCATGTATGCTTGCAGGCCAGAAGAGGGCACCAGATCTCATTACAGGTGTTTGTGAGCCACCATGTGGTTGCTGGGAATTGAACTCAGGACCTCTTGAAGAGCAGCCAGTGTTCTCTTAACCTCTAAGCCATCTCTCTAGCCCTTATTTTTCTTTTTAAAGACAGGGTTTCACTATGTGACCCTTGGCTTCCCTGGAACTCACCATGGAGATCAGGCTGGCCTTGAACTCACAGAGATCTATCTGCCTCTGCTTGCTGAAAGCTAGGATTAAAGGCAAGAGACACCACACCCAACAATTATTCCTATAATCACAATATAATGTGCTTATAGGACTGCAAATCTGTACATTCATGGAGTTCAGGGAAAAGGCCTGTGAGGAAATAATAGAATGCCAATTTACTTGGGAAGGCAAAGCCTACAGCAAAGACATTTAGAGTTCTGTATCCTAAATTAGTGGTAAGAAAGTGACAATTTAACATACGCACTATTTTCCCTCTGGAGTCCATCCAGCTCTGGCAATATATTCGACTCCTTCAAACAGAATCTCAAAAGGTTGAACCAGTTCTTTATCTATGACATCTATAATCTAATAAGAAGAAAAGGGAATGGTTACTACAGAAGACAAGAGAAAATAACACACTAATCTACTTAAATTATCTTTTCAGACAAGGGTACTTAAAAGGGCACAAAGTTGACAGTGAAGCCAGCAGTCAGTCAGGGGTTTCCTGTGTTGGTACTTTCTATACCCAGGACAATTCTAGAACAAGCACAGACATGATTTCAAAGTCTTCCTTTATACTAACAAAACCCTTGATAATGAATGACAGGCTCAAATTTTGCTCACTTCAGGTCTAGAATCTAGGAAAAGTAACACCCCTTAAGTCCCTCTACTTCAGTCTAAAATATATTTGTGTAATATCTGAAAAAAAAAAAAGACTTGATAGGCAATTTTTTTTTCCTTTAAACGTTTAGTAAACACAACTCAAAAAAAAAAGTAATTAAAAAAAGTGGAGTAGGGCAGTAATGGTGCACGCCTTTAGTCTCAGGGCTCAGGAAGCAGAGGCAGGCAGATAACGGTTAGTTCAAAGCCAGCATGGTCTACAGAGCAAGTTTTAGGACAGCCAGAGCTGTTACACAGAGAAATCCTGTCTCAAAAAACAAACAAAAAATTGGTCCATAGTAGGGCAGTGGTGGTGCACACCTTTTGTCCTAGGACTTGGGAGGCAGAAGCAGGCAGCTCTCAATGAGTTTGAGGCCAGTCTGGTCTACAGAGCAAGTTCCAGGACAGCCAGGACTACACAAAGAAACCCTGTCTTGAAGCCAGCCCCCACCCCCGAAAAGAGATTTGAATAGGTAGCCCTTCAAAGATAAACACAGGAAACATTAGCCATGGTGAAATGCAAATCAAACGGCAATGCACTACCGCTTATAAAAGGATGACTGTGACAAACAACAGGGGCAGTAACAAGTGTTAGAATGATGTAGAAAAACTAGAAACCTCATATACTGCTTGTGGGAATATAATTTTCAAAGCAGCCTGGCAGCTCCATAAAAGATTAAACAGAGCATTATCACATGACCCAGCCATTTTCCCAGGTATACCTCAGAGAAACAAAAGCATAAACCCTTACAAACACTTGCATATACATGTTCCTAGCAGTCTCTCTCCAACTCCTTCTTTTGACTCTCTCTCAAATGATACAGTCCCACTATAAGTGAAAGCTGATCTTAAACTTGTGATGCTCCTGCCTCAGCCTCCCATGTACAGACATTGTTGCGGTAACAGGAATATGTCACTGTCTAGCTTCATGACAGCTTTCCTGTTTTGTTTTTGTTTTTTGTTTTTTTCAATACAGGGTTTCTCCCTGTAACCACTCTGGCTGTACTGGAACTCACTTTGTAGATCAGAATGGCCTCGGACTCACAGAGATCCACCTGCCTCTGTATCTCAACTGCTGGGATTAAAGGTGTGAGCCAGCACTGCCTAGCAACAGCTTTCCTTTTATGAGGAAAAAAAAAATGGTAGCAACCCATTTGATGAACAGGTATAAAATGTGGTATATCGCACAAAGAAATAATATTCAGCAATAAAAAGAAATAAAGGGGGCTGGAGAGATGGCTCAATCAGTAAAGTACTTGCCTGGCAAGCATGAAGATTTGAGTTTGGATTTCCAGTACCCTGGTAAATGGCAGGCATAGTAGTACTGTGCTGTTTCAACACTGGGGAGGCAGAAATAGGAGGAACCCTGTAGCTTTCTGGCTAGCCAGCCAGTCTAGCCAATCAGCGAGTTCCAGGTGCAGTGAGACTATCTCAAAAAATAAAATGGAGACTGGAGAGATGGCAGTGGTGGTGCACACCTTTAATCCCAGCACTTGGAAAGGAAGAGGCAGGCAGATCTCTGTGAGTTCGAGGCCAGCCTGATCTACAGAGTGAGTTCCAGGACAGCCAGGGCTACATAAAGAAATCCTGCCCCCCAAAACTAAACACTCAATCCCCCTGGGGTGGGGGGAAGAATACTTATTTTTAGGTATGTGTACGCATGCATTTATATGTGGGTATGTTCACATGAATGTAGATACCTATGGAAATCAGAAGAGGACATCAGATCCTCTGGAGATAGAGTTATAGATGGTAGCAAGCCTCCTGACAGGTATGGAATTTGGGTCTTCCACAAGAACAGTATATGCTCTTAACAGTTGAGCCATCTCTCCAGCTGCCCTCAAATCTGCATTTTAACTAATTTTGTGAGCATGTCCAAATGGAAAGCAGGAGTACAAGAGAAATAGGGGTTATTCAATCCACCACAGATGTGATATACACCCAACACAGAAGGTAAACCACTGTTTTACATTTTGCAAAGAGCACAAAGTATTTGCATATGTGCAGAGGCCAGATGACTTGTTTACTCCTCAGAATTTTTTTGGAGACACAGTCTCTCATTGGTCTAGAGTTCAATAAGTAGGCTAGGCTGGCAGGCCAGAGTATTAGCACAGCTTTTCATGTAGGTTCTGGGGATTTAACACAGGTTCTTATATATCCCTCCCTGAAGGCCTCATATGAGTGCTTTCAAGGAAGAAAACTAGGTCAACCTGTAAATTATGAACCACAAATATCTCATCAACTTCAACAAGTAGACAAATAAAATGCATCAAAGTGCCTCCTAAACCAGCTAGCCAAAGCACAGAGTGTTCAGTGCCTCACACTTACCCCTCCTTCAGCATCAACAAGTATCTCTGACATCTTGAAAGTGACCTTTGGGTTTGCTGTGCCTTTAGAAAAAAACATGAATGAATAATAATGTTCATAATTACTCCAACCAACTTCTTCTGATAGGTGTCCTTCAGATTTTAGTTAAGTTAGGAATACTGTATATAATTGGGGCTTTATTGTGCAAAAGTCTTAGAACCTATCTCAAATTCATGAGTAGCAAACAGGAAAGAGGCTAAAACTAGAAAGAGTCAGTATAAAAAAAAAAGGAAGTTATCTACTATTTTTGTATCGAAATGTTGCAAACAGCAAAGTGGGCAAAAACAAACAAAGAAAAACCCCAGAACAAAAGTCTGTTAAAAGTCTTTGACAGGGAGGGATACTTTCTTGCTGATTTCCCAGTTTTGTAGGCACACCCACCTCCAAAAACAATTAAAGATTCAAAAGCTATACTTAATGAACAAATAATCTTTATGAAGGCTGTTAATGATCAAGCTGACTATACATTTGAATGACTGCAGATTTCATTTTTTGTTTTTGAGACAAGATCTCATCTAGTATCTCAGGCTGGCCTGGAACTCCTAACAACCCTCCTACTGCCACAGGCTTCCAAGCACTGGGACTACAAGCATGAGCCACCCCACCACACCTAGAGGGAAAAAATGAATAAATAAGAACAGTGGAATACAGTACCTGTTTTAGGATAGCGGAATGAATCTGCCCTTCTTGTTTCCAACATGGGGGATGTAACATGAATAATTTCGACCTCAGATTCATCATTTTCTTCATAGAGAATTCTAAGAATTTTACCACCACTAGGAGCTTAAAAGGAATTTAGGTATTGAAAATTTAGAATTATTATTACAGAATACTCATCATTCACTAGTCCCTTTAAAACTAGGTGTTTTACTGAAGGAATAATTTAGGCATACGATAGACCACTATTATGAATTAGTGGTACTAGAGACTGAATTCAGATCTTTGAACATGATAGATAGGCTAGTATCTGCCAGGCTGTGCTACCTTCAAAACAGAAAATTTTAACTACATTTATTTATTCACTCTGTGTGTGTATGTATGTAGGCCTTATTAGTGGCTTACAGCTAAAAGTCTGAATAGTTCTTTAATGGAACATGAAAAATATTTATTTAGAAGTCATATTTGAGATTTGGACATTTTAAAATGTAAATGTTTTGCCACAATTATACAGAACAAGACTGTGACATAAATCATTCAACACAACTAAAGTCTTTAGCATCTTCTAGAAAATGTTGTAAAGTTAATTAAATAATCTCTTCTTAAGGTGGGATGCATGTGGAAGTCAGAGGACAAGTTTTTTGTTGTTGTTGTTTTTTCGAGACAGGGTTTCTCTGTGTAGCTTTGGAGCCTATCCTGGAACTCGCTCTGTAGACCAGGCTGGCCTCAAACTCACAGAGATCCACCTGCCTGCCTCTGCCTCCCGAGTACTGGGATTAATGGTGTGCACCACCAATGCCTAACCCAGAGGACAAGTTTTGAGAGTCAGTTCCCTCCTTACACCATGTGAGTCCCAGGGAACTGAAGTCAGGTCATTGGGCAGCAGCAAGTGCCTTTACCTGCTGAGCCAGCCTGCGGGACCCTGTGCTACCTATGCATGAAAACTTCCGAATCTTTACAACTGCAGGGCGACTTCAAAGTCCCTTCTACTAGGACTTAAGGTTTATCCTTTTAGCAGGGAAATAATATGTGCATGTGTTTAAATATATATATAGTACACACACACACACACACACACACACACACACACACACACACACACACACACGGGAAATATTTTGAAGGATTTTGACATAATCAAACATAGTATTTCCTATAAAGTGCTAAGAGTTTGAATGGTTGTATTGAATGGTTTCTGACAAAATCTTATTCTGTATAATTATGGGAAAATGTCTACATTTTAAAATAAAAGTCCAACTCTATGACATGGATTAAAATAGATATTTTTCATTGTCCTCTAAAGAAATGTTCAGATCCTGGTGGCACATGCCTTTAATCCCAACTCTTGGGAGGTAGAGGCAGGTGGATCTCTGTAAGTTGGAGGCCAGTCTGGTCTACAGAGCGAGTACCAGGATAGGCTCCAAAGCTACACAGAGAAACCCTGTCTCCAAACACCAAAAAAAAACCCCAAAAACCAAAAAACAAAAACCAACTGCTGCTCTTCCAGAGGACCCAGCTGGGTCTCCAGCACCCGTGTAGCATCTCACGACCAACTGTGACTCCACTTCCTAGGATCTATACCTTCTTCTGACCATTGCAGGCCCACACCCACACCACACATGGTACACTTACATACATGCAGGCAAGCACACACACACAAAATTAAGAGTAAATAAATCTTAAAAAATAAAAAGGAGCTGGGCAGTGGTGGCACATGCCTTTAATCCCAGAACTTGGGAGGCAGAGGCAGGTGGATCTCTGTGAGTTCAATGCTAGCCTGGTCTACAGAGTGACTTCTGGGACTGGCTCCATAGCTACTGAGAAACTCTGTCAAAAAAAAAAATAAATAAAAATAAAAAGTAAAAAAAGAATTAAAGTACATAACACCTAAGAAATACTGCTTCATAAATTGTGTTTCCAATTTTGTCTATTAAATACATGAACACTTCACATGATTGTGAGTTTCTCACTGGACTGTGGTTAGACAGGGTGGGCTGATCCTTTAAGCTTCTCAGTTACTGGTTCACACATACTCATCTGTTCATGTCATTAGTGGGGACCTTATCATAATGCTGCTTGACCTTACATAGGCCAGCTTTCTAGATGAAAACTGGCAAGCAGAACCTGAGGTGCTGAGACAGAAGGTAACCGTTTCTACCAGAATTCATGTGTGTGTGTTGGGGGGGGGGGGGATAAAGACTATCTTTTCTGAATAGCTACTAGTACAGTCTAATTTTCATCACTTTTTCATTTACTATCCCAGCTTTACAGTCGGTACAGTCAGCCAAATGACAGTCAAAACCTTTAATACTTCAAGTGACCTGTGACACACTTGCTTACTTCTTTCAGCTTGTGGACACCACCAGTAGCCTGAGTATCTATCAAATTCTTCTTGAAGAACAAAGGTAGCAACTCCAGCTGATCTGGGATCCTCTTCCATGTTGGCTAGCTCTGTACAAACAAAACAGGCAAAAATTATCCCTCAAACTTTTTTTTTCTTAACAATAGGACAAAACAAAATGATTCCATCACTTCTAAAGAAAGGTAGCTTGATGGGGGATGTCCTTCTGTATGCTGTGAATATATGTTTCTCTTATTAATTGATGAATAAAACTGTTTCAGCCAAAGGACAGGCAGGATGTAACCAGGCAGGAAGTACAGGCAGGGAGACCAGACTAGGAGAATTCTGGGAAGAGGATCGCAGAGAGCGAGTCTCCAGGGAGAAGCCATGTAGCTACTGGGAAGGTAGGATGCTTAGGCATTACCAGTAAGCCATGACCACGTGGAGATACACAGATTAATAGAAATGAGTTAATAATTGAGAGAGAGCTAGCCAATAAGAAGCCTGAGCAACCGACCTAACAGTTTATAATTAATATAAGCCTCTGTATGTATATTTGGGACTGAAAGGCCACGGGACCTGGCAGGACAAAAACTCCCATCTACAATAGCTGATTGTAGTAGTCAACCATGGAGCCAAAGAGATTGAATTCAAATCTGGGCCTCACCATCTACCTATTGTATGACCTTGTGCAAATTGTCTCATTCCATGGTTGCATGTCAGTGGTAGAACTCAGCATATGCTTGGCTCTAGTACCCTTAGCACCAATAACTACCTAAACAAATAAATCACAGAGACACTATTATGTAAGATTTTATATCATGTTTACAATATAATTTGAATGTGGCTTGTTTTTTGAAAATCATCTATGTTTTGACATTTGTCAGTACTTAAGTTCTTGTTTGTTAAGTAATAGTCCATCAATTCTATGGGTTCTTTTCTTAAGACAGTGGGTAGTTTGAATAATAATGGACCCCAGTCAGTGGAACTATTTGGAAAGATTAGGAGGTGTGGTCTTATTAGAGGTGTGTCACTGGGGGTGGGCTTTAAGGCTTCAAAAAGCCCATTCCAGGCCCAGTCCCTCTCTGCCTGCAACTTGTAGATCCGATGTGAGCTCTCAGCTACTGCTCCAGCACCATACCTGACTGCCTTGCCTGCCCCCACACTTCCAGCCATGTTAACCATGCACTCATCCCCTGTAACCGTAAACAAGTTCCCAATTAAATGTTTCCTTTTCTAAGTTGCCTTAGTCATAGTATTTCATCACAGCTATAGAAGAGTAACTAAGACAGGCAGGGTCTTGCTATATGACAGGCCATGGCTGGCCTAGAACTCACTATGTAGACCAAGCTAGCCTTCATCTCAGAGACTGGCCTGCCTCTGCCTCCTGAGTGCTGGGATTAAAGGTGTAGGCCACATGTTGGGTCACGCTGTGGATCTTTCATCCATTCTTCTGCTGACATATGGGCTGTTTTTGGTTACTGTGAATAAAGATAATGTGAACATTTATTTTTTTTTAAAAAATAATTTATTCTTACTTTATGTGCATTGGTGTCTTGCCTGCATGTATGTCTATATGAGGGTGTCAGATCTTGGAGTTACAGTTGTGAAATACCATGTGGGTGCTGGGAATTGAACTCAGGACCTCTGGAAGAACAGCCAGTGCTCTTAACCTCTGAGCCATCTCTCCAGCCCCCCCCCAACATTTATTCTTACACATGTGCATTCATTTCTTTTGAGCAAATATCTTGGAGTCAAGTGGCTGGTTAGTGGAGTGAGTTTACCTTTGTGGGGATGCATTTCTATTATTTTACACTCTTACCAACAGTTGATATTCTCAATCTTTCTCACTTTTGCTTGTTTACTTGGTGAACAGTAATATATCAGTATGGTTTTATTTTCTTTTTAACGACAGGGTTTTGCTATACTGCCCAGGCTAGTCTTAAACTCCAAGTAATCCTCCTATTTCATTCTCCTAAATGCTTGGATTATAGGCATATATTACTGTGCCTTGCACAGGTAAGATTTAATTTTCTTTTCTCTTTGTTTTTGTTTTGCAAGATTGGGTTTCTCTGTGTAGCCCTGGTCGTCCTTGAACTCACTCTGTAGACCAGGCTGGCTTTGATCTGCCTGCCTCTGCCTCCCCAGTGATGGGATTAAAGACATGTGCCATTACACCCAGCTTTAATTTACCATTTTTGATCATTGTGTGAAATGAAAGTGCAATAAGAACCAATACTCCTGAGTCAAGTATTTGGAATTCAGAAGCTTCATATAGTGCACATCTACGATGTATTATGTAACATCACCAGCAGCACAACTGGATAAACTGTAATCTAATAACCCAACGTTCCAGCAGCAAACTGAAGGGAAGGCACTCTGAGCAGGGCAAACGTTATAAATACTCTCAAGCCTGTTCAGGTCAGGTTTTGCTACCAGCGAGTTTTTGCTACCAGTACCAAGTTAATGATGACAGCGTGTTTAGAACTTTCTGAAACATGGAATTAGTAAAAGAGCTAAGAGTGCTGCTGGGTTTCTTGGATCCTTTAACTACAGCAAACTACACTGCCAACTTTCTATCTATTCTGTTGCCCTTTAGATGTGAGGACAGGTACCATTGCTTTGTGTCTCTGCCATTTATTACAAGTTACTAACTGGATAACTGGTATCACCTTGTCTTCTCAACAGAGGGTAACTGGGGGCCATAAGCAGTTCTTTTAAATTCCTCCATCATATTGAGCAGAGAATAAACACACATGCACCCTGACAGATCAAACTCACTTTCTAAGGTGGGCTTTCATCACAACCTACTATGACTAACATATTGGCTGACCATGTTCCCTTCCTCCATCCCTTTCTATCTAAAAGGACAGCTCACAGCCTTCACTATGTTTCAACCACAATTCTGAACACTGCACAAAAAATAATTAACTCATTAAGGCTTCCTGAAAATCCTGTGATTATACTCAGTTTATTCACATTTTTACATATATAGAACCAAGAGATACATTAATTAATTTGATGAGGTCAGAATTAATGAATGGTAAATCAAACTCAGATAACCTGGTTCTGTATTATTTCATATTCTCTGCCTACGCTCTTAACCACTACACTAATACGAGAAATAATAAATACACCACACATCTACATGAATAGTAAAGAAAAGAGTAAAAAAAACTATAACATCCTCCAGAACTTTCTACTTTAAATTTTGCCAATCTTCACAAATTCCCTGTAGAAAACAATTTTATGAAAGAAAGAAAGCCAGGCATAGAGGTGCACACCTTTAATACCAGAACACTTGGGAAGTAGAAGTAGGCAGATTTTTAGAGTTCAAGGCCAGCCTGGTCTACATAGTGAGTTCTGGGACAACTAGGGCTACAAAGAGAAAAAGAAAGTCTGTCTCAAAAAGAAAAAAAAAAAAAAAAAGATTTTAAAATGCTTTATTTCTGACAGTTTTTGAGAGAACTTTGTAGTCCCAGTTTCAAATATAGTAAGTAGTATATAGTGTTTAGTGTTTGTTGACAGGATGAAAAAGGGCTTAAATTTTCAACAGACTTGTGACTCCAGTGATGGCAGTTGCCAAGCTTTGGTGTCATGGCCTGTAGTTTCTAAAACCCTTTATGTCTTGTACAACCACAACCACCCGGCTTGACTGCTGAAGTCTCCCCATTGAACCCCACCAGTACTGGACAACTGAGTGCTTCAACTCCTCACAAAGGCCATAGCACCTTTCAGAATAAGACCTTTCTTGCACAGCTCCCTTTCTGGAACACTTTGCTAAAATGCAGACATTACTTAAGGTCAGTCACATTGAGCTAGGGGAAGTCTCCCCAACCACTGCTTCTCTCTCTTTTTGTAAAAATGATTTAATTGTTTTCTTTTTTTTGAAAGATTTATTTATTTATTATGTATACAGTGTTCTGCCTACATGTATGCCCGCTGGCCAGAAGAGCGCACCAGGTCTCATTACAGATGGTTATGAGCCACCATGTGGTTGCTGGGAATTGAACTCAGGACCTCTGGAAGAACAGTCAGTGCTCTTATCCTCTGAGCCATCTCTCCAGCCCCACTGCTTCTCTTGATCCTCAATAGTACTCCACATTTGGCCTACTCTGTATTGCTAATTTCCATTTAGCTGCTTGATGGCCAGCATCACCTTATTCAATATGTACCCTTGCCACAGTTCTTCTTTTATTTTTTTAAATATACTTTTAAAAAATTTATTTATTTTTATTTTATGTGCACTGGTGTTTTGCCATGGGTGCTGGGTCTCCTGGAACTGGAATTACAGACAGTTGTGAGCCACCTTGTGGGTGCTGGGAATTGAACCCAGGTCCTCTGGAAGAGCAGTTAGTGCTCTTAACCACTGAGCCATCTCTCCAGCCTGACATAGTTCTTCTTAAAGGTCGGTTCCCTTAAGATCCTGTTCAAATATCACAAGCTGCAAATGCTTAAGTCTCTTTACATAAAACACCATAGTGTTTCTGCAGAACCCAAGTGCATCCTTAAGCAGACTTTAATGAGATTACTTAATTACACTGTAGACAATGTAAACAGTTATTACACTACATTGCTTGGAGAATGACCAATAATAATGTCACAAAACGTCTGCATGTGTCCATTACAGATACAGCTATCACAGGCCTAACTGCACATAATATACGATAATGAGATGTATAGTGAATGACCCAACAATGCCAGAGACGGTGAGGATGGAGAAAATGGTGGGAAGCTGCAGGAAGGCCTTATTTACATGTGAACTCAGTCCAACAATCAATCTGTGAAACTTTTTCTTGAGACAAAGTTTCTCTGTGTAACCCTGGCTGTTCTGGAACTCACTCTGTAGACCAACCTGGCCTCCCTCACTAAGATCCTCCCGCCTCTGCCTCCCAGGTGCTGGAATTAAAGGCACCACTATGCCTGGCTTTATGTTTTTTGAGACAGCATTGAACTTGTATTCCTATTGCTTCAGACTCTGTTTGTCATCAACAAAGCCTACTTAAAAATTTCCACAATGCACATGGCTCTTCCACATTCTCTTGTTTCCTATTATAACAGTAGCTAAACAGGCTTTTCAAAATGGGGAGATTGTTTTTCAGGCAGTTTCTGATGATGTATAACTGGTTTTCCTGTTTATCCATCAAACAAGTCTCATTTTCTGGGCTAAAAGAACAAGCATAGCAGAGATGCACTGTGATGATTGAAAATGGCTGAGAAGAGAGTGGCATTATCTAAGGGGTGTGGACCATGTATTCTCTGTCCTCCATACCTTTCCATTTTTAAACACCTGAACTTAAAAATAAAGACCACCCAGTTTGCTTTAATTTCAAAATGGATGTAAAATGAAAACCACTTCCCACACACGTACCAGCAAAGCCAGGCTGCAGAGCTCTGCCTTACCATTGTGCACATAGGTGATCCTCCGTTCTTCCCTGGTTACCAGGTTCGATATCCAGATATCGTTGCTGTGGATGAAAGCTATCCAGTCTGGATCAGCAGGGCATAATTTTGGATCCATCCGTATATTGGGACAACTAGTTTCCACTAAATTGGGTCGTAAAGGTTGTTGCTAGAAAAATAAACAACATTTTAAGGTAAGCTATCAGGTTGACAAATACAAATTTCTTTTCTAGCTTTTTTTTCCTGGAAGATGGATGGAATTTCTAACAAAATGTCCATAACAGCTGCATCCCAGAAAAAAATATACTTTCAATTGGTTTAACTTATTAAGGACTCTTTTTTAAAATAATGAATGGAAAAGTTAGGGGTAATAGATAATAAACACTATATTACACACCAAGACAATGTAACAGTATTTCGTGAAGTTTGCTGCTCAGACTATTTAATGAAGTAATTATTTATCTGTTGTACAGGGTTTCTTTGTGTAGCCTTGGCTGTCCTGAAACTCACTCTGTAGACCATGCTGGCCTCAAACTCATCTGCCTGCCTCTGCCTTCCAAGTGTTGGGATTAAAGGTGTGTTCCACCACCACCATCACCACCTCCTTGCTTGAACTTTTTTTTTTCTTTTTTGAGAGCAGTTAAGAGCACTGGCTGTTCTTCCAGAGGTCCTGAGTTCAATTCCCAGCAACCACATGGTGGCTCACAACCATCTGTAATGAGATATTGCTCCCTCTTCTGGCCTGCAGGCATACATGCAGGCAGAACACTGTATACATAATAATAAATCTTTTTTAAAAATGTAACAAGGCATAGTAAAATGACTCAGCAGGTAAAGGCTCTTGCTGCTAAGACCAACAACCTGAATTCAATCCCTTGGTCCTACATGGTGGAGTAAGATAACGGTACTGCAAGTTGTCCTGTGATCTACATATACCCTGTGGCATACATACACTCAGGAGGCAGAGGCTCTATGGATTTGAGGTCAGCCTGGTCTACAGTCAATGCTACACAGAGAAACCCTGTCTCAAAAAACAAAACAAAACAAAACAAAAACACAAAACAAAAAAAAAAATTAGCTTTTCAGGGAAACCAAAAAATAAAAGATCTTGTGAGAATATCTTCCAAAATCTCCCTTAGCACATAGAGAAAATGGAAATTAATGCCATTTTCTCTATTGCCCAACACAGAAAAGATTTTGAGCATTTTAAAAATTGTATCTTGGGGCTGAAGAACCTATACTGCTCTTGCTCGTTCAATTCCCAGCATGTGTGTCAGACAGCTCACAACTACCTGCAACTCCAGCTTCAGGAAATGTACCCTCCAGCCCCTAAGAACACCTGCACTCCCATTCTCCCTCCCCCAGATATATGTACTGAAAATCTATTAACATTTCTAAAATTTTATTTTTATCATTTTTAATTATATGTGTGTCTGCCTATGTGCATGTGAGTGCAGGTACCTGCAGAAGCCAGGGGATTCCCTGTGGCTGGAGTTACAGGCAGCTCTGAGCTGCCTGAGTGGGTCCTGGCAACTAAACTTCCATTTCTACAGTGCCCATCTGTTTTCCTTTGTTTGTTTAAGATTTTATTTATTTATTTATTTATTGCTTTGTTTTTCAAGACAGGATTTATCTGTAGCTTTCAGAGGCTGCCTGGAACTCACTCTATAGATCAGGTTAGCCTCAAACTCACAGAGATCCGCCTGCCTCTGCCCTCCGAGTGTTGAAATTAAAGGCGTGAGCCACCACCACCCAGCAAAATTATCAACTCTTTTTTTTTTTAAATTTTATATATTTATTATATAATACAGTGTTTTGCCTGCATGCCAGAAGAGGACACCAGATCTCATTATAGATGGTTATGAGCCAACATGTGGTTGCTGGGAATTGAACTCAGGACTTCTGGAAGAAGAGCCAACACTCTTAACCTCTCAGTCCTCTCTCCAGGCCGAAATTATCAACTCTTAAAAATTAACATTAATTTCTTAACTGGTGGGTAAACTGACCCTTTTGGTTTATTTGTTAATTTCCTTTCTGATTTGGGTACAAATTCTCTTTAGGACACCAAAAGAGTTAACACATAATAACTGTAATTTACCGTAAATCCGTGTGGGCCTCCATCTTTGATATGATAAATTCCACTACCAGCTTGAAACAGGAATGTCCCGCTTCCTGGGTGATAATCATAAGCTGCGATTCCCACGGTTCCGATTCGCTTCCTTTCTCTGAGGAGCTCTTCCTCTCGAGAATACATCCCATAGTCTAGTGTCGCCTACAACAAAAGGAAAGTCACCCATTCCAGTCTTCCAAGAACTAGTCTTTGTAATTTGCTGAAATTCTAGCATCTCTTCAGTGCTTAAGTCTGTACTGAGTGACTCAGAAATTGCCAGCTACTCTAAGCAGATTAATCTCAGAAACTCTCATGAAATTTTGAGTAAAGAACCATTTAATCACTATTGCACACATTAGAAAACAAGAATAAAATCCATCATCTCAGTAGTGAAGGCCCTCTATAGTCTAACCATGATCCAGTAGCTTTGTATACAGTTAGTGTAGAGCAGGGATCTCCCTAGCTGCCTTGATAGGAACTGAACACAGTCGTTGAGCATATGCTGGGCAAGCCAAGAGAACAGTGTGTGTGGTGGGGTACTAGCCAGCCTCAAACTTCTTGATCTTCTGACCTTTCGACCTCCACACTTTCCAAGTACTAGGATTATAGGCTAGGGCAAGTTCCAGAAAGTACAGGCAAGAGGATTGCCAGAAGTTCAAGGCCAGTCTGGTTTACATAGTAAGCTTCAAGACTAGTCAGGAATACACAATGAGACCTTGCCTCAAAAATAAATAAAATAGGGCTGGAGAGATGGCTCAGTGTTTAAGAACATTTCTTGTTCTTTCAGAGGACCTGAGTTTGATTCCTGGCACCCACATTAGATGGCTCACAACTATTTGTTAACTCCAGTTCCAGGGGATCCAATACTCTCTTCTGCCACCTATAGGTACCAGTCCTGCACATACATACTTGTAGGCAAACATCTTTGCAAACTAAAATATTTAAAATAAATACTAAATACCAAAAACTTGAATTGTAATATTCTATATCAGCCATGTAAAAGTAATGAAATATTTTAATACCTTTTCATTCACATTTACTTAAAATATAAAGCCCTAGATGAATTCTTGCCCTGAAATAAATGAAGAAATATATACCAAATCATAGAAACAAGAATAATTGTCCCAACCTGAAAAAGGTCCAAAAGAGGCTTCCAAGAAAGCATTAAGACTGCTGCTCTGTTGATGGTTTTAGGGATTTCAGAATAAAATAGTGTATTTTCTCTGTTCTCACCAGACATGGCTATAAGGGGAAAAACAAACAAAAATCCAACACATAATACTATTTTGTAATACTGTCCTTATTACAACAATCACAAATATATAATACCTTCTACATATTACAATGTTTTCTATTCTACTGGAACCAAAATGATGTTATTAAGTAGAGTGTGCACATGCCTTATGCCTTGGAAATTTTCTTGAATGAAAACAATGTTTCAAGTTGGGCATGGTAGCAAACACCTGTAATTTCAGAGCTCAGGAGGTAGAGGCCTGAGAATCTGAAGTTTGAGGTCAACCTGGGATAACTGAAACCTTGTCTCCAAAAAGAAAAAAATGTAAGGAAAAGAACAACAAGCTCACCAAAGATTCTGTGGTGTCAGGGCACATGTCTACAATTTCAGCTCTCAGGAATAGCAGGATTATGAGTTAGAGTCCAATTTGGGCAGATGGACAAACAAAACTAAGAGGTAAACATAAAAACAACTCCCCAAAGTGTCACAGGAAAAGTGCTTCACCCTGATAATAAAACTTTAAGATTTTTATTTGTGCCAGGTAATGGCGGCACTTGCCTTTAATCTCAGTACTTGGGAGACAGAGGCAGGCAGATCTCAGTGAGTTCAAGGCCAGCTTGGTCTACAGAGCGAGTACCAGATTGTTTCACAGAGAAACCCTGTCTCGAGAAAACAGAAAACAAAACAAACAAAAAGATTTTTTGTGTATGAGCATGTGCACACACACTCATGCATAAATGTGTACCACATATGTGTAGATGCTCAACGAGATCCCTGGAGCTGAGTTTCAGGAGGGCGTGAGGCACCTGATGATGTGGATACTATGAACTGAACCTGAGTTCTACAGAACAGCAGCAAGTACTCCTAACCTTACCTAACTCAGATAATTGAGCCATCTCTCCAGCCTTGATATTCAGATCCTAGTTCATGTAAAGACAAAACTTATTAAAGCATGTAGGACAACATAAGAGTTAAGACAACCCATTTTTTATTTTGTTAGTTTTGGTAAATAACAGATGAGATTTCAGATTAGAAATTCTCTTCTTTCTTAACTTTATTTTCTTAATTATCTAAATTGTACATAGAAACAAAAAAGTTCAACTTAATTCCAGTTTTACTTCATTATAAAGTTCTATGATTGGAGGCTGGAGAGATGGCTCAGCGGTTAAGAGCACTGACTGCTCTTCCAGAGGTACTAAGTTCAATTCCCAGCAACCACATGGTGGCTCACAACCACCTGGAATGAGATTTGGTGTCCTCTGCTAGCCTGCAGATAGAAGACTATACACATAATAAATAAATAAATAAATAAATAAATAAAATCTTAAAAAAAGAAAAAAAGTTCTATGATTGTAACAATGTCTTTGGAGTTTCAAAGTATATACTAGCTGGGTGGTGGTGGTGTACACCTTTAATCCCAGCACTCGGGAGGCAGAGGCAGGTGGATATCTGTGAGTTTAAGGCCAACCTGGTCTACAGAGTGAGTTCCAGGACACCCAAGACTGTTAAACAGAGAAAATCAAAAACAAAAAAAACCAAAAGAACCATAACGGGGATTGGTGTGGTGGCACATGCCTTTAATCCCAGCACTTGGGAGGGGGAGGCAGATTTCTTCAGTTCAAAGCCTGACAGTGAGACTGCACAGTGAAACCCTGACAACAACAACAATAACAAAAGTACAATAACAAAAGTAACAATAACAACCGATACAGTGATGTTTCACTGTAATTTCAGTATGTGGGAGGTGGAGGAGGGAGGGTCACGAGTTCAAGGCCAGCATCTCTTACACAGTGAGTCAGAGATCTTGCAAAAACAATGATTACAGAAATACAAATTCTACAGCCTTTTTATAGGAGACATTAAGCAGTATCAATAAAAATTCAGAATATACACTTTGTCCAAGCAATCCCACTTTCTGACTTAACACAGTGATAGTTACTGCCTTGACTTTTCATTAAAAGTCTATGATTAGCCAGCCGTATGTGCTCGCTCGCGCTCTCTCTCTCTCTCTCCCTCCCTCTCTCTCTCTCTCTCTCTCTCTCTCACACACACACACACACACAAATAAACTTAATAAAAATTTTAAAAGGAAAGAAAATTAGGAGCTGGGCATAATGACACACATCTATAACCACAACATACAAGAGGCAAAAGTTGGGGGGGGGCAAATGTTCAAGGAGGCTATGGTGTAACTCAGTGGTGGAATGTGTTCTTAACATGCACATGGCTTTGGGTTCAATCTCCAGCACAAAAAAGGAAACACATTAAACTAGTAGACAAATATATTTAATTCAGACAGGTCTTAAGCATGGAATACATGGACTCAGGAAGAAGAGACCAAGACTTGGTTGAAAACAATGAAATCTGCAGCTGCTAAGGATGGGAGCAGGACCAAGGCTTTACAGTTTGTCCTCATGTGACCATTTTCAAGGAAAGGCATTTCAAACTAGCTTTAGGAAGAATCAATTCTCGGCTTAACTTTGACTTTGTCAAAAAGATCATGGGTCAATTACCTGCTGCCTGCAAGTAAAAATATAGCTAATGAGATTAATCAAAATTAATACAGCCACTGAACAGAAGTTCTTCAAATTAAAAGTGAGTTTTTTTTCTTTAAAGGAAACAAGCCACATATTTGCTTACTACTGAAATAGAGTCTGAATTACAGTTAGTCCTGACTTGAGGAAATGCCTTCTTTCAGAAAGTGTAACTTCATACTCACCAAGATAGTAGACCCTGTCTGAGTGAGGGCTATCTGGATCTGTCCTCTTCACAAACATAAAGTCATGAGGTGCCTTAGCCATCATGTAGCCATGATATTTTCTGGTATCAGCAAGCAGCTTTTTAAGCTGACTCCAAGAATATCGTTCGACATAAAACGGCTCCAGTTTAGGTCGATCCTGTGATTCAATAGTTCCTTCCTCACACTCTGCAGTTTCAAATATCTCAACACCCAGCTGTTCTGTTTCCATTGCTGCTGCCATGTTGCATTTTCCTGGAAAAACAAGCCACAAGAAGCCGTTCAGAGGGCTGTCTTCTATTTTATTATCACAATGACAGGTACGGAAAAACCAAATAAATAAATAAGTCGTTCAACACAGCTGCTTTGAAACCTAATAAGAAAAGCAATAGCAGTGTCCTCCACCCCCACCTCTGTGCTCAGTTTCAAAAAGATTTTTTTTTTTTAATTGAGGTCATGTTAATTTCACAGTGACTATAATCCCTCCAGGGAACTTTTTATAAAAGGTTCTCCTTGGGTATCTCTTGCCAAAATTCCTTTTCCTTTCCCACACTAGAAGGAAACAGGCCACATGCCAGTTGGCTGCTACAGTCTACCCCAGAGCATGTCAATACAGAAGCTATGTGCCAAGGGAGGTTAAGTGTTTTAGCATTTTAAAAAGTAACACTTCTAACAAATGCTGATAGATGTTTCTAAAATGTAACAAATTAGCATAGTAACATTGTTACAAAACAACTTATAACTTAGCTAGGGCAGTAACCTAAGAAAATATATTGTTTTCTTTTACAGACAAGGACTCCACAAACAACTAAACACTTACAAATTGATACATTCTGAACCTTCTGCTCCTCTGTACACACTATATCAAATACTTGTGGTACTTAAATTTTACTGATGATTCATGATTAGTCTTCCTGATTATGTAAGGTCTATTATCATTCAAAAAAGAAAAATATATTATCTTTAAGTAGCTTTAATTAGTTGAAGTAGTTAATGAAGAGAGCATATGGTATTCCCATCAGCATTTTATAAGTGAACCCAATTACCAATTCAATACCATAATTATTTAATAGCTTTGAGAACTGATTGTACTTATTTTACAAATCCAGAAGATACACTTTCCCCCTTCATCTTTCTGATATTTAAACTAACATGAGCAAAGTATGAGAGAAAAATAACCAAAATAAAAATGCTATCATAAAACCATGTAGAGATGAAGCTCAGTTGTGGGTTCAATCCCAGTTCCACAAAAGAAAACAAACTACATATGTAACCACATTTCACATAATCAACTCCTCTTCCAACAATCAATACATGGCTGTGTATTTAATATGATGTCTTTCTTTTAAAGCTAAGCTTTGCAGGTTAACATCAATTCATGCAGAAGTTAACTGCAACTAGCAAGATACCAGAAGGTGTGGGCTGTCAGTCCACCTAACTTGCATTACTGGTATGCAAAGGTGTTGAATTGTGCACAGGGAACACTGTATCATTTCCCTTGTTACAGTGCATGATACTGTCACTTCAAGTAGAACAATGACAAAGTAGAGTAGTCCAAATACTGTTACATCAGGTATAGTTGTAACACTCTCATCACTGAGCATCCAAGGTTCCACTGACTAAAATCTGGTAGTGAATTAGGCTTTTAGATCAACTGGGACACAAGTGGCAGTATGTGAAAGTGGCAGTTGTTGGCCTACCTGAAAGCTAGTGGAGGCCCACTGTCAATCAAATATGTCAAAAGACCTAGTTTTCTGATGGAGCAATGGGCTAAAATTAAAAGAATCTATACTAATCTGACTCAGTTCTCTTATGTGTATAATTCCATTTCCACTCCATCCCTTGCAAGTATAAGACCAAATAACAGAAGAGAGCAGCTCAGAACAGACTTGCAAAGCCTTATTGCTCAGCAGGAGTAATTACCAACTTTAGAATCCTTCTTTCTAAAAACTTACATCAGTCTCTATTTAAAAACCAGGAATTTCTGAATGGACTGTGCTATTTGTTTTCACACATGTATACACTGTATCATTCAAATGACATTCTGCCAGTCTGTTCAGAGTAAATATTTATTTGGCCCTTTCTACAACAAATATTGTGCAATTTGCACAAATGTGCAACTAACTTCCAGAATTCCCCGACATTCTATATACAAACACATTCTCAAAATATGTGGCCTGAATTTTTTCAAACAGGGTCCTGTCCATTTTCCCAGCACAGTAAATATACCACACTGCCCCACCAACCTCTTCATCTATGGACCTTCCCTGGTGCCTACCTGATTGTATTTTCATCTGCTCAGATCTCTACTTTCAAAGAGATCATTGTCACTTGGCCCAACTTTAAGCACAGATCTCTCCGTTCATCCTGATCTCTTCTCACAGGAATCTTTCCTTTTCTCACCATCCAATCCTGCTTACCAGATAAGAGATTGTTGATCATTAAAATGGACCATACATGGCCAACAAATAAGCCTAAAAATCCCAAAATGGTATTAACTGATAGACTTCCTTTTAGTGTAATATGTAATAGCTGAATTATTTTGCATCTCCAACTTATCAAAATCCAAGGCAGGTCTTGAATTCTCAGTCCTCCTTCTTTAGCCTCTTGAGTGCTACAATTACAGGCCTTTGCTAACAATTCCAGCCCTAAAATTACTTTTTCCAGAAATGTATGGCTCAAATTGAAGCTTTAAGTCCTAAGAACAATGTAAATCTTGAGGCCAAGACACATTAAAGAGATAAATTATAGAAGGGCTTGAAAAATTGCAAAAGTGGGCTGGAGATGGCTTAGTGCTTATAAGCAAGTAGTGATATTGGAGAGGCCCCAAGTTCGGTTCCCTGCACCTACTTTTGGCTGCTCACAATCACCTCTAAGACCAGTTGTCAGGGGAATCCAACACCTTTAGTCTCTAGAGGAACTGCACTTATATGTACATACCCTCACACATACACATAATTGAAAATAAAGTTGACAATAAATTGAAAATAAAATAGATGAGATGCCAATTGTAAAGCTTTGAAAGCGGCAGATTCAGTTTATTTCTAGGGCCAGGGAATTGGTTTAAAAGGTAAAAGCGCTGGGTGGTGGTGGCAAATGCCTTTACTCCTAGCTTGGGAGGCAGAGGCAGGCAGATCTATGTGAGTTCAAGGCCAGCCTGGTCTACAGAGCGAGTGCCAGGACAGGCTCCAAAGCTACACAGAGAAACCCTGTCTTGAAAAACCAGGGGTGGGGGGTGGGGTAAAAGCACGTGAGGCAGAGCCTAAGGATCTCCTGAAAGCCAGGAAAGTGTTGGCCCACCTGTAAAACCAGTACCCCTAATGCGACAAGGGAGGCATAGAAAGGATTGGCTGAAGTTGGAGGGTCAGCTAGTCTGGAGTATGCTGCAATTGAGATTCTGTCTCAGCAAAGTGTAGTTTGGGAGAAATGACTCCCAAAAGTTATCCTCGGATTTCCACATGATTCACAAGACATGTGCGTGTAGAGCCGCAAGCACACACAACACAAAGATATAATTTATTTCTATGTGCCTATGTTCCTTTTACATGATGTCTTATTGAGCTGGTGAGAGAATTCAGTACAATAAAAGATGTCCATTATAGGCAGAAAGGGAACCTGAATTTAATCATCTAAATTGTGTTCATTTGTCTGTTTAGAAGACAGGGTATCACTCTGTAGCCAAGGGTGGCCTTGAACTCAAGATCCTCTTGCCTCAGCCACCCAAATGCCGGGGTTACAGGTGTACACCACCATAACCAGCTAGAATTTTTGACAAGGTAAAGAATGTCTTATTCATTTTTAAGTGCATTCCATTTTTGCTTTCTTTTCTCTCCATATTACTGAGAATAAGTGAGATGGGTAGCTTTTCTGGAAAAATAATCACTAAACCGGTTGATTATCTAGTTTAGAAAATAAAAATTGTGTGTGTGATTACATCTTATTTGTTATCAGTTTAGACTCCAAGCTCCCTATTATTCCCTCACATGGGTGACAGAAAATTGAGAAAAGCTATGTGGCAACAGGAGGGTAAAAAAAGTTAAGACAGCAGCAACAGGCTAAGATTCAAGACACCTCAAAGCGCAAAGCCCCTCACTCTGAGAATGGGATGTTGGGTTAAAAAGCTTTGTGATTCTTGGGGTGTGGTCCACTGAAATGGCATCCCATAGTTTTTACGGTAAGGGCCAATTAGACGTCCAAGCTCTGCACACCTCACTGGAGCCTAACCATTTCACTCTTTGGCGTCTACAACTGAGAAAGTTTATCAAGGCAAAGAGCTTGACAGCTATGGATGAAGGAGGAGGAAAGGTGTGGTAGGGGATGTGTCGAGGAAGGACATTAGGAACACCAAGGCTTAGAGTGTAAGCAAGCTGGACAGGAAGGGCAGGACCCTGGTGCGAATGGATGGGTGGAACAGAATGGCAGCGAGACAGTGAGCGCGGAGGAATGGATCTAGAGTGAAGCAGGAGGGAGGAAGGAACACCGGCTGGGGAAAAGCAGCGAGTCCGAAGGAAAATCCCATCCGCCACTGGCGGACCTCAGGCGAACCCCTTCGCCTTCGCAGACTTCCGTTTCCTCCTCCGTAAGCCCGGACCGTCCCCGGCATCCCAACCCGAGCCAGGCTCTATCAAGATAACGGACGTGCGAGTCCGAGCGG